ATTCTGGTTTTTTAACACGATGATACGTCACTCATGGCCTCGGAGACGGGCTATCGATAGGAGGAACATTAGTGATATGAGTACATGGCGTCAAACAGCAGAAGAGCTGTGAAGCTAGGTACGTAGTTGCGATCAACTGTGAGGAGGATGAAGACTGTCACGTCTACTTTAATCATCGTATGCATCATCGTTGCATTCCTATTATGTTCTCGCATATTTGAATGAAAAATACTATTTTTAGTCAGTCCGCTAAAATGTCTCGTGGATTTCGTTTCACTGATGATCAATCGCAGGTGTTAAAAAGCTACATCCGATTTTGAATGAGTAGGTGAGCATTCATATCACATCCTGACTGTAGACACACACAGGCAGACAATCACACGCTCGAGATCATCAATCAAGGAAATGGGAGAAGATTTGAATCGGTAAGAAGTATTAACTAGAAGGAGATCAGGACATGAGCAAGCACAGTCTGATGCGATAAGTTAGACACGGTAAAGCGAACTATGAAACGGTAAAGCAAACTATGAAACGGTAACTATGAAACGGTAAAGCAAACTATGAAAAAATGAACTATGAAACGGTAAAGCAAACTATGAAACGGTAACTATGAAACGGTAAAGCGAACTATGAAAAAATGAACTATGAAACTGTACACGGACGCATGTAATGTCAGGGGACGCGGGGATCACACCTAAGGAAGGCTTTCATTGATGGACTGTTGCTGTTTGAGGACGCAAGACTCGCTGAGGTGAAGAAACCTGTTGCGCGTGCGCGAAACACGGGACTGGTTTCGAATTGTCACTTCGCTTAAGGAGGTTTGTAACCGAGTGAAATTACCCGCAAGTAGGACCATCCTTTTTCGGAGAGAAAGGAGACAATTCGGTCCCACAATTCCTTTCGGCGCAAATATTTGAATACGTTGTGTGACGTTTTGTAAACCACGCATCCGTTATGACTTTTCTCATTTGCAAGTTAAAGAAACGGAGAAAGTTTTCTTTATTCCTGATTGTTTAGTTTGTCTCCTTCTTGTTCACAGAGTCACAGCTAAACAGAAGCAGCGTTCAGTTTATCTGCTCCACATATCAGGAACAAAGTCCCAGACAGCTGCAGGTCTGCGGAGTCCCTCAACTCCTTTAAATGCTGATTTCTTTATATTATCTTGTATGTTTTAATCATTGTCCTTAACTGTTAAGTTTAGATGTATTCAATGTTAAACACTTTGAATGACCTTTTTTGTTATGAAGTGCTACGCAAATGCTTTACCAACATTTATAACAAATACCACAGAGTTAACACACACAACCTCATGCTATTATTGAAAAACCTTCTCACCTTACCTTGGACGTCTTGAGTTTTGTGAACCTAGGCTTCTCAACAAGTAAACTACCCAGTTAGTGCATTTCCGTGAGGGAGTATGTGTGAATCGCTCCGTATACGAGTACTCCAGAACTGGTTGTACAGATACTCTCTGTGAAAGGCTGCGACGTGTCACAACCATCCAAAACGAAAGCTGATCTGTGCTGTTTGCAGAAGGCGTAACCACATGAACCACATTTTTGTTTAATCAGCATGTGAGCATGAATGTACTTTTTAAAGTTATGATCTGTTTATTAATGATCCGTCTAAATATCTCAATGTTTGGGCATTTATTTACTGCAGCTTTCTTCTATTTATCTGCCATAAGTGTTGTAACAATCTGTGAAGACCAGTGAGGTGAATGTTTCTCTTCTCTTCCTCAGGTGAACGCGGCGCCACCAGGTGACTGAAATAAAGACTTTAAATATGTGAAGTATTTACTGAGAAAAACAAACGAGACGTTTAGATATACTGATGAATGAAACAGAGTGAACGTTGTATTGTTTGTTTCTTGAGTACTTGAGTGAGAAGTTTTGTCAGAATAAATGCGTAAATATGAGCACTTCTACAAGCCGTCATTGGCGGACTATGAGGACGCGCGGATGGCATCTAATGCACGGAGGGAGATCGCCGCAAACGCCGGGTTTGCCCGTCGAGGGGAACAAAGTTGTGGAGGAAAATACGGGACAAATGTGTCCGCGATGAAAAGCAGCAGAGGCGATGCACGAGGCAATAAAGTCTATGATAAATAAACAAACAAATAAATAAATAGACGCGACTCTCTAGGTCGTCTTCAACAAAACACGTCACTCCGCCTGTTGTTCTGGAGGTGAATCGCTCTGCAACACGCGCAAGACTTTTAGAAGCATGAATTGAAACGAGTGCGTTTCAAAACGCGTCATAGGCGTATTTACGCGTTGCGCGTCATAGGCGTCAATACACCAGCCTTTATGACAGACAGTTCAACGCGAACGCCTCTGCCTCATACATCGAATTCCGTTTGGGTTTAGTCAGCTTCCGCAAAGTTTTATCTGGGTAAAGTTTGGTTTGGGTAAAGTTTGGTTTGGTAACGTTTCATCTGGGTAAAGTTTGGTTTGGTAACGTTTCATCTGGGTAACGTTTTCAGGTTTCGCCATGTTCGCTTCGCTCCCCGTGCCGGTGACCGTCCTGCTTCTCGCCGCCGTATCGCCGCTTCTGAACGTCACAGGTTTGTCTCTTATTCATGAATCCATTACTTTGTTACCGACGTGTGAGTGTGTCAGTGGGAGCGTTTAATTTGGCGGAATAACCTTCTTAAGTGGAGTCTTCCTGCACGAAGTGAGGCAACAAAAGAGGAAGTGCGTGTTTCTGTAGTTCTTGGATCAACGGTCAGGACGCGCGTTGGTGTTGCTCATGTAATGTTTTCTCTTCGTGATGTTCGTTGACGATGCGATGTTGTTATTTGTTTGATTCAGGCGCTTCGACGGTGAAGATCCTGGCCGTTGTTGGTCAAACGGTCATCCTTCCCTGCAGGAAGCAAGTCCGTGAAGAAAACGTCCTACACGTAGAGTGGAAAAAGGACAATGACACGGCCTTCGTGTATAAGGACGGCTGTGAGGCCTTTGGAGACAAGAGCGACGCCTTCCTCTACCGCACCCAGCTCATCCTGCAGGAGCTGAAGGACGGGAACATGTCGCTGCGGCTCTCCGACGTGCGGGCTGTCCGATGCAGGGACCTGGACGTGCAGCAGGAACCAGACCCAGGTCGACTGCACGGTGGAGCTCTCTGTGGGTACGTCGGCAGACTTTATTCATCCCAACAAACCACCCAATAGCTGCTTGTTATCGTTATGGGGGGATGAATGAATGAATGAATGAATGAAAGTGAAACTTTCATGAATGAATGAATGAATGAGAGTGAAACTCTTCAGAATCATGTTTCTGATCACATCCATAATGTGTGTATTGAATTCTATTTTCTGTGAGTAATCTACATTGGTACAGTTACTGAAGTTTTAAAGTCCATTTAGTGGCGTAAAAAGAGCCACCTGCGTTGATGTAGACGTTCAAAGACGTCCAGCTTGGACCAGATTTCAACATAATTTGCAATATTGGTCGCAAACTTTTACGGCGTTTCATTGTAAACCTCTATAATAACGATATAGCAGAAAGTAGCAGAGGATAAAAAATGTCCGTAATAAAAATCGCGTTGAAATGGGGTTCAAACGTTTCTCCTTTGAACCAATTTCTGTCTTCAGCGGTGGCCATAGACGGCTTTCGATGGAAGAATACTCGCTGGGCAAGTTCAGGTACTTCCGTGTCGTAGTGAGGATTGTACTTGGCCTCATTACTTCCCACCCTGCAGAGACTAATTTACCAGAGTGGAATCCATCGTCCCATCGCACCCTTGAGATGTCAAACCCGTTCTCCCGGAATCACAGGACAATGCTCCACACTTCCACTTGTCTGACATGGTTAAACTCCGGCAGCTGTTTTGATCAAATATACCGTGAAGATTTTCACATCTTACAAAGTCCGGTAAATATTGCTGAACAAAGCGTTGTCCACAGGATAAATATGTTTTTGACTGAAAGTACCGTGTACAACCAGTATGGATCAACCGATTAACCAATTGATCCATATATATAAGGCGCTCCGGATTATAAGGCGCACTTTCGTTTTTTGAGAGGATCAAAGGCGGAAAATACCGTAATTTATTTCTGTTTCTCTGTGCAGGTGCAGCTTCTGAGCCCACACTGGATGTGGTTCCAGGGAAGGGGGTCACCCTGCAGTGCGAAGCCGCCTGCTGGGTCCCGAAGCCCGACGTCACATTTCTTGACGCACAAGGAAACATCATCGACGCCGAAGCCTCGAAGTACCATCAAGACACCCGAAGCCGATGTTACAACGTCACGAGGAGAGCGACCGTGCAGGCGGGAAACTAGTACGAAGATTTTGCATTTCTTATGTTTTGTGTGTTGGATTGACGAAGTCTCCTCGCCGCTTCACACGCAGCCACTTTGTGTCTTTTTTTTCCGTACAGCTTCACCTGCAGAGTCAACCAGTCTGAGATTAACCAGACCAAGACCGTAAAGATTCACGTTCCAGGTATGCTGGAACTTCCACCTGTAACTGAAACCTAGGTCCACATTCACTCTTTAACCTTCCCTGTGCGAGAGCCACACCCAGTTTTGCTGTGAAAACATCAGGAATCAGGAACATTTATTGCCAAAATACGTCAAACATACAAGGAATTTGTTGCATACCATTGGACAGTAAGTCAAATGACACGGTGCAAGAAAAGTGGCATGTTCATGGGGCAGTAATCAATATAACATAAAAGCTTTATGGGGTCATAATCGATGCCTTTGCCAATACAGTCATTTCATTCTCCAATTTGGGCTCAGAGTTCAAAAGGTAATGTTCTGTCATACAACAAACAGGATATTGAGACATTCTTCACAAGTATTCTTTGGTCATGACAAAATATATATGAAAATATGTTTTTCAAACTTGTCCTGGAGCTTTCTGTTGTTGTGTCATGTAACTCGTCCCTCACACACAGCGTTTCCCTTCCAAGTGAACGAACCTGATCGGCTTTGAGTGTGTCCAAGATCTGTTGCTGCATTTAGCTCCTTATTGCATCACTTCCTTATTGTAACACGGTTAACAGGTTATCATCTGATTTTTTTCTGGCAGGTTTTTCTGCCAATCTTTTATATTTGTTATTGTTTGACTTTTCTGAACCTCCCCTTTCTTTGAAGAAAAGAATGAGGTTTTATGGAGGAGAATCCACAGACTGAAACGTTTAGTCTGACTTTCAGGGTTCAATTCTTAGTTCGGTCAAAGTACCTGAAACTAGTGTTTCATATTTCTGAAATCTCATCTAATGTACTCATGTCTGTATAATCTTAATGATCATTTCAGATAACTGCACAATACCCAGGACAGTGGCCATCATCGCTGCTGTTATAATGTTTTTAATTGGAATTGGAATTGTATACCAATGGAGGAACTCCGGTGAGTCAATCACACTTTTCCTTTTTATCAAACGTGTTTGTTTCCATCTGCAAATCCGGAAATTCATTCAAATATGCGTTGAAATGTGTTCTTTTTATATTATATAGATGGAAGTAGTTTTGAGAAAAAAGGAGATCGGTACATTTGAACCAAAGTCAGAATTAAAATCAGGTCACGTATCCGTTTTAAAAAGTAATAAAAGCAGAGAGCTTTTTTTAGCTTCACATGGTACCGGATCTTCTCCACTGGTCGAGTGAATCCTGTGATGAATCTAATCAAACACTTAAAACCATAAGCACTATTATTCTATTTCTAACAGTAGTGACTAAAACTTATCTTTTTTCATTCTCACATAGAACGGGTACGTAAATGTGTTTGCGCACAATCATCAGTCCAAAGTTTAACTAGCAGCAAAAGTCAGACAGACCAGGCTCCACTTCTCCAAAAGAACTCCGAGCTCCAGAAAGAAATCGATGAACTGAAGTCCAAACTTCACGACAAAGATGAGAACAACTCCGGATTGACCAAAGAAATCGATGAACTGAAGTCCAAACTTCACAACAAAGATGAGAAGCTCCGCGTATTGACCGAAGAACTCCATGAAGTAAAGTCTCCAGATTTTCTCACGACACTAACCCCAAACCAGCAGCCTCCACCAGCGAGATGCTCCCCAAGAAAGAAAGGCCCCGTGTCCCCGACACGGGAGACACCGCAAGCTCTGCGTTCGGGGAGCTTCTCCGATTCTCTGCATCGCCTGTCAAACAACCGCTACCAAGCTCTGGCCGACTTCCCTGAAAAAGACTCGTAGAAGAATCCGTTGCTGTAAATGCGAACAGAGTCGGGATTGGCGATGCGTTCGGGTGCCTTTACAACAAATGTTTACGAAATGCTCGTAAGTGGGTTTTTACACAAAATAGCTACTTGAATTATAATGGGGAGTTTCTCCTGTGCCGGTGGAGGGTTTCGGGACAGAGGATGTCGTATGTGTACAGACTGTAAAGCCCCTCGGAGGCAACATTGTAATTTGCGATTTTGGGCTCTACAAAATAAAATGAAATGAATTGAATTCATTCAGCAACATTCATACAAATATGCTAAACTGGCTGAAGTCGGGAAACTTTCAGTAATGAGAGAGGAGAGGGACAGAGAACGAAACGGAGAGTTAATACTAGCGTTGTGTCTCCCCCCCCCCCCCCCCCTCTCTCTCTCTCTCTCTCTCTCTCTCTCTGGAATACATTGTTGCAGTGGTTCAGGGCATTTTCCCATTATTAAAATGGATTAATATGGATACAATGTTGCAGTTGCCCCTTTGTTCGGTTTTTGTTGACACTGCAAGAACTGCAAAATCTAAATATCTATATAATTTGTTAGCTATCTAAATATTAGATAATAATTCCACGAATGAGCAAACTGTTCTTTCATTGGCCCATGTTTATTGCCAACCATAAATAGGCTGTTTCTTTTCTTTATTTTTTTTAATTGGGGGGGGGACGAGGTTGGGATATAGAAGGGGGTGCGTGGCCTAAAAGGTTTGGGAACCGCTTAAGAGGTTACTTTAATAAAGCTGTTATGATCCAAATATCGAGTACTGCCAAACCTTTATTTGACAAATCCTATTACTGTTCAGTATCTCAGGGTTTCTTTTATTCCCCTGGAGGTTTATGTGTTAATAAGCATTCTGTCAACTATCAAGAATTTAACATGTTTGAAAATGTTTTTTACGCTTTTGATTACTTTACACTAATAAACGTGAACTGTATTTGTTTAATAGCAAATTACGAGCAAGTGAAAGAGAATTGACACATTTCCAATACAAACGATTTCCATTTTCTCTGATTTGAAGCTTTTTTTAAATGTGTATCATCATTTGACATTTTATTCATTGTTGTTGTTCAAGTCTCACCATAAATGACCATTTATTTACCTGTCATTAAAATGCTCCTTTTAAACGCGACTCCAAGGGATTGACGTTGTTTTGTTTCTTCGACACAAATGTCCACGTGTGAGTTTGTCCGATGTTTTGTCCCTGCTCACCAACAGGGACAGATGTCAATTCAATGACTTTGGGACTTTCCCGTGACAGTTTGTGTCTTTTTGGTTTGTCGACTTCTGTTCCACTTCCTGTTGGCAGGTGTGAACTTGTGGGTGAGAGCGAGCTGAAAGCTTTAATGTCTACGTGTCCATGTAGCAGTTTGTGGAGGCCAGAAGTCCTTATGAAATACCTTTTTGCATGTATCGGATGTGTTTAATAAAATATTAAAACCTAGTCAGAATCGTATGTCTACATATTTTGGGTCAGTTGAATCGGGTCCGCTGCATCGTGTTTGGTCCCAGGCCACTTTAACTCCTCCTCCTCGCTTCTGGCGTGTTGTTTCCTGTGAGTAGGAGGATGTGGGTGGACCTTCTGTCAGACGGAGGTGAGGACCCTCAACATCAAGACAGGATGGAGGTCACATCGCTCTGCCTGGTGCTCTGTGAGAAATAACACTTTTATTATTAGTATTATTTCTTTCTGCTTTCTATTATCACTATTTGTCACCGTACCGTGTTTGTGAACTTGAACCGTCAATTATTCCCTTTTTGATTCATCACAAAGACTCAATTTGTTTTAGGCCGGTGTGGTCTTTACCTCGTAACTATCCTGTGGACCAAATGCACATTTACTTTGCTGTTCGTCTCATCGTCGTTAAAAAAATGACTAAATCCGACTCACATTTGGTTATTTTTAGGGGATGTTCAGAGTTCTGGTAAAAAAACGTTCTTCACAGAAGCACAAAGACGCTTCAATATTCTCTAGAACACCAACGCTTTACCACAAAACAATACACGACATTTCCGGGGTTGATGTGGTTGTTTTGAAAGCTCGTTTCCAACAATAAAAAACACTAGATTATATTCAAGATACATTTGAACTTGAAATCATTCAACTCCAATTTGACTCCTATAATAGTGGGATGGTCAAGTGTTGTGTAATACGCGCGTACGCTTATTTATTCCCCATCTTTGGATTTCAGCCGCGTTGGCCGTCCACCCCGACAGGTCGCAGTTCTTCGTGTACGACCGCGTGGCGCTGACCTGCGGGCCGCCGGGCTGCTCCGGCGGCTGGACGCTGCAGAGGAACACCTCCACCCACGCGGCCCGGACGTGCCCCTCCGCCTGGGGGCTGCAGACAAACGGCTCCGCCTGCGTCATCGACACGGTCTACCCGTCGGACAGCGGGGTCTACTGGTGCGGGTCCGAGCTCCGCGGGCGCAGCAGCAACAGCCTCAACATCACCGTGACCGGTAACGTGCGCGCGGACCCTGCTCGTGATTTTTTTTTTTTTTTTTGTGGCCCCCGAGAGAGGACGTGACAGCAAAGTGGCGGCGGTGTTTTTTTTGTTTCAGACTCGGACGTGATCCTGCAGAGCCCCGCGCTGCCCGTGACGGAGGGCGACCGGCTGACGCTCCTCTGCGCGTGCCGGGGGGCGCGGGGGGAGCCGCCGCCCGCCGCCTTCTTCTACAAGGACGGGGCGATGATCGGCGATCGGCCCGCGGCGAACGTGACCTTTGCGGGGGTGTCGCGGTCCGACGAAGGCTTCTACCGGTGCGCGGTGCCCGGGCGGGGGGAGTCCCCGCGGAGCTGGCTGGCCGTGAGAGGTGACGCGCCACACGCGCGCGCTTACTTCGTGGCGGTTTGATTGGAGATCAACGTTGACGTCGCCCCTCCTCTGTTCGTCTCATCGGCAGTCGCGGCTGAGCCCCCGCCCCCAACCCCGCCCCCTCGCCCACCTGTGCCCAGGCTGGCGTGTGTCGTCCTGCTGGTGGTCCTGCTGGTGGTCCTGCACGTCCTCCTCGTGGCAGTCTGCGCGAAGGTGCGCAGGAAGGTGCGCGGGGACGCCTCCGGACATCCTCAAAGTTAAAACTTCACGCAACCCACAAGTTAACGCAAGTCAACCAGCATCCAGACGGTAAATTATTGGAGGGGTTTAAGCAGAAGAGCACAAATAGACATTATGAAACATGTGATAAGGTGAAGTGTAGAATTGTAGTTTGTGTGTTATTAGATTTTAGTTATTACATTAGATTAATAATTGCAGTATGACGTATAACACAATTTATCGTGGTTTAAGTCCTTTAATTATTGTGCACACATCCTGCCGCAATGTAAAGTTAAAACCTGGGGAGGGTCAATCTGCCTTCCTGATGGATTTGTTCCACCTTTTCTCCCCAAAGAAGGTTTTTTTTTCACCTGCAAACATTCTGAATATTGTCAAGTCAAACATAATGGATCAAATGTGATGAACTGTGATGATTTAAGATGTGTTATTACATTACATTACAATTCATTTAGCTGACACTTTTATCCAGAGCGACTTGCAAGAAGTGCATTCAACCATAAGGATACACACTTTATCCTTAAAGTGTGCTAGAAGATGATGTTATTCACGCCACGTTATGTTCACATGAAGAAGCTTTAAGTCAAAGGTGTGGCCGCTGAACGCGCGGTGGTGTTAAGTGAACAGGGGTCGATCAGGTCAGCGAGGGATTCCACATCCGTCCAGCAGAGGGCGTCACGTGACTTTCTATTCGTGTTCGTATTGCTTCTGTTAGTTCTTACATTATTTATAGTTTGTAAACTCGAGATTCTTCTGACTCTTCCCCTCTGGCCAGGTCGAAGGGAAAAAGGAGCCGAGCCTCTGTTCTGCAGTTTATTCATTCAAATGAAGGCTCCACTAAAAGTCTCTCCTCTCCTTGCAGCTCGAGCTGAATCAAAGAAAAGATCCGTGAAGAAGAAAACCAGCACATTCAGACCAATGACTTTGGACATTGGGCTTTTATTCCTGCAGACAGAAACCACCCAGCGGCCGGATTTGATGGAGTTGACGCCATTTTTCAGCTTGTCGACCATTTAATACATATTATTTAATACAAGACGGTGAAGGTTGGATTAAATGGCTGAATTGAGTGTAGCGCCTGTGAGGCCTTTCTAGTCATGAACAATTGTAATAATGTAAATTACGTGGAAAAACAAGGATACAAAAGACTGGAACTGAAAGTGGACCTAAATCATAATGCACATTGTCTGAGGAGGTGAAAGCGTCTCAGAGGGCCCTTTATTTACACATTTATCCGATAACTAATAGTGTGTTTGCAGATAACAGGGTTGGTCGTTGAAAGAACGCGTTGCATTGCCTCCTCGCCGGATCACACACACACACACCCTGTTTCCTCTCGTCTTCACAACAACTCTGAATAAATGCTGATCTGAGCACTTTTATAAATAAAATAAAGAAACAGCTTATTAATTTTCCAGGTATTAGGTGGTAACTTCCGCTTTTGATTTTCATTCTGAGAAGAGTCCCCGGCCTGAAATGCGTGTTTGACCCTAAAGAAGAGGAACAAGACGTTTCTAGGAGAGACGTTTCAAGGCAATGAGGAAAAAAAACAGACTGAAGAGACTATCAGCATTTTTGCAAGTTGTTTTAAAGGGTTTCAGTAAATCACAAACTTACTTAACTTAACCCACAATTACTGTTAACACTTCTCTGATTTAGTGATGTAAAGCCGTTTGTTTGCGACAGATGTGAAACATCTGCACAGAAAAGCTTTATTTGTTTTAATAAGCCATTATGACGATGTTATGAAGATGTGGGACTATTTGTATATTGATATATATCATGTAGATTTACTTTAGTATGGATTCTATTCACTAATTACACACCAACAAACAGCCCAACTGACATAAGATCCTAGATAAAAGCAAACTTTCAGAACATAAACCAGCCACAGCTGGTGGCGGTGACGCGCCAAATCGCTGTTTTCACCACCCGCCCACAAACCTCGAAGAAGAAGTCCGGTCACGTGATTTCAGAGGGTAAAAAAAACAAACAAAATACACGAAGGAGCTGTAATGAAGAGGAACCGAAACTCTGAGCTAACAGCGGAATTACGATGTGTAGCACTCAACTCCGGCGGTGAATTAGCGAAACACCCTGGAAGCTAATGTCGGTCAGACCACCAGCCTTTTTACACCATGAATCTAAGAGGACTCTTTCAGGACTTCAATCCCAGGTACGTTCCGCTAAGCTGGTCTGTTAGCTTGATGCTAGTTAGCGTCAGTGACTGGGCTATGTTTGTTACGTCATGTCTATGTAACGTTACGGAGACGTGCGGCGACGTGTTTCCAGGAAGGGTCACGTGAAACCCTTAACGGGTCATGAGGTAAATACTGTGCGGCTGATTCTAATAGAAAGCAGCTGGCTAACGTTAAATAAGGCCCGGCTAACATGCTAGCTAAGATAGCGGTTGCTAGGTACAGCTGTCTGCAACGTTACTTAGCGTCACACCGTAGCTAACTATGGCTATCTAACGTTGGTCAGCTCTGATGACATCACGTCCGGTGACATTTGACTATGTCATCCCACATGTTCTCATGTTTGGACAGTGATTTAAACACTTTTCAGTTTGTATTCTTCCCCATTTAAAAGAAAATGTCCCATCACCTGCACACAATGTCCACATGTCCCATCTTCGTCTGCATTGGGTTTGACTCGTGGTCCTCCAGTGCACGTGACTGTCACATCTTCATATAACGAGAGGACGCTTGAGTTGTATCTATTGTTTGTTTTCTAACAACCTGCAGCATTTTTGGCCAGGTTGTCTTTGCAAATGTAGAACTGGTTCTCATTTGACCTCTGGATAAATGAAGGTAGAATACAAATAAACATAACTTCCCACATGGGGCACACCTGTTAAATATCTTTCCCTCTTGTCACCTGCCGCAGCAAGTTCCTGATCTACTCGTGCCTGCTGCTCTTCTCCGTGCTGCTGTCCTTGAGGCTGGATGGAGTCATCCAGTGGAGCTACTGGGCTGTGTTCACCCCGATATGGCTGTGGAAGCTGTTGGTCATCATCGGGGCCTCGGTCGGCACTGGAGTGTGGGCGCACAACCCCCAGTACAGGTAGACCCTCTCGCATGTCTACGTGTGGCTCGGTGGTCACAGGCCTCATGTACATAATATATGAATTACTGTAGGCTTTGCTTCTCGCTACATTTGACAGTATTTAAACCGGTAACTTTCGGATGTCTTTGTTTACCCCCTCGTAGGGCTGAAGGGGAAACGTGTGTGGAGTTTAAAGCCATGCTGATCGCGGTGGGGCTGCACGTCCTGCTGCTGATGTTTGAGGTGTTGGTGTGCGACCGCGTGGCGAGGGGAAACTACTTCTGGCTACTCGTCTTCATGCCGCTCTTCTTCGTGTCGCCCGTCTCTGTGGCGGCATGCGTCTGGGGGTTCAGACACGACCGCTCCCTCGAGGTATGAGGCCTGACGTGTACGAGGTTACAGTAGGAAATGAATCCAAAATGTGACCCAATGCTTGCGGCTCGATGGTTTGAGTTGATCTGTGTTGCAGTTGAGGTTGAGCGATCTATTCTAAATCCTTATGGTCAGACAGCGGTTACTCGAGTTTACGGACATTTTGTTTCAGAGTGTATCAAAGAAGACTTTATCTCAAAAAATGAGTTCAGTGCTGAACTCTTCTCTTTGCTCTTCCTCTCCTCAGTTGGAGGTGTTGTGCTCAGTTAACATTCTCCAGTTCATCTTCATTGCTCTGAGGCTGGACAGGATCATCAACTGGCCATGGCTGGTGAGATACTGGAACACTGGAAGCTTCTTTTTATGCACCTCAATAAAATGGATTTGATGTGATTCTGCTGCCCTTGTTGTCTGTAATGATTCCTGATGTGTGTGTGTGTGTGCGCTGCAGGTGGTGTGTGTCCCACTCTGGATCCTGATGTCCTTCTTGTGCCTTGTGGTTCTCTACTACATCATCTGGTCCGTCCTCTTCCTACGTTCCATTGACATCATCGCCGAGCAACGGCGGACACACATCACCATGGCGATCAGCTGGATGACCATCGTCGTGCCCCTTCTCACCTTTGAGGTGAGTTGTTCTTCACAGGGTTAAACTAGTCTGACACAAGTTATGATTCTACATCTTTATTTAGACATATTTTGGATTTTGAGCCCAAATTACACCTTTTCGATTCCTTGGAGAAATATAAAACAATTAGCTAATAGAAATATAGAATTATATCCCTAAATTAAAAGTTGGATCTGGCAGCAGATTTCCCTGCTAATAATATTTGCCTATGCTGCCCTCTACTGGCCAAATGCTTTTTGAAATCAGTGTAAAGTGCTTACTGGTCCTACATGTCCTAGAAAATTCTACTAAATTTAATAAATATGATGATTGGAAGATGAAATTTGAGATCTTCAGTTTTTTTAAGGTTACTTTGTTAATTATTTTACACTTGTATGTTATTGATCAAGTGTAGTACCAACTTAAGTCATTCATAAGCATTTGCTTTCTTTGATCATCACCATCTTAAGCCGTGATAAAGAATACTCCTCCTGCACGTGTGTTTATTCTCACACACACACACACACACAGCTTTTTGCGAGTTTGCCGCTTGCACGTTTTGCCTTCCAATGACTCCTGAAATTCTGGCACCTCCTCAGATCCTTCTGGTGCACAAGCTGGACGGCCACAACAGCCTGAGCTACGTGTGCGTGTTCGTCCCGCTCTGGCTCTCCCTGCTCACACTCATGGCCACCACCTTTGGCCAGAAGGGGGGGAACCACTGTGAGTATTCACCACCGGCCATGATGCTTTTCTGTCAAAGGTTGTTCATAGTAGTAACACGACGCCTCGATCAGAGTCTTAATGTGAAATCTGCTTATACATTTACTCTGGCTGACACTGGACCAACTTCACAACTGACCTCTCCCTCTCTTCCTGCAGGGTGGTTCGGCATCCGTAAGGACTTCTGCCACTTCCTGTTGGAGCTCCTCCCCTTCCTGCGAGAGTACGGCAACGTGTCCTACGACCTCCAGCGCAGCGAGGACCCCGAGGCGGTCGAAGACGTGCCCGTCCCCGAGCCGCCGCCAAAGATCGCCCCCATGTTCCACAAGAAGACCGGCGTGGTGATCACACAGAGCCCCGGGAAATACTTTGTCCCGCCACCCAAACTGTGCATCGACATGCCCGACTAAGCTGTGCACCCTGTGGGCCACGGGGGGGGGGGCTGCTGGTGGTGTTGCAGCACAGGACCCATCGGCCAAACTCTGCATCACGATGGCTGTGACCCATTAGAGCCGATATGGAAGTGAATGATCAATGGACGCAGGATCCCGATCCCGGCGGTTGTCCCTCGATGTAAAGACCGCTCCGCCTGACGCTGCCCTGCAGGGAACAGATTTATGTTTTTCGCCGTGTTGCTTACTAAAGATTCCGAAGTCTCCGATACTCTTGGATCTAAATGTTGATGTCGATTTATGTCGGGTGAGACAAAAAGAGAAGCGCTGGATCTGCGTGGACTTCCAACCTGAAGCGAAGACGCGCTCGTCTCCCTGGGGACCATTTGAGAGACTCCGGGCGTAAACGGGAACAATGATCTCTTATTGATGCACGTTGGACCATGCAGTTGGAGAAATACAGGGCGGAATAGAGGGTAAAGAAGGGGTTCTGATTTATTGTTTTTTCAGGTATGTGTTCGTATAACACTTGCTTGCCCAATCATATGCTGAGAGAAGAATTTGTCTTTGTCAATGTCCTCCTGTCCGTGAAGCGAGCCCTTTCAAACTTGATTCCATCAAAGAGACGTGGGGACAAACCGGAGAGGAGGGATGCTTGCTAAGCATATTTCAATATACACATACATATGCGTGAGGTTGCTTTCAGGCAGACCTAAACAATGGGGAGCGTTTCTCTTTAAAAAGACACCGCAATCAAAATGGCACTTTGAAAGAAGTTCTCGTGGAACCGAAAACTTTGTTTGTATTCCTACTTTTTGTAAATAGGTTAAGTTAGGGACCAGAGTGGAGATGACAGCGTTGGAGGCAGAGCCGTAAAGAGCAAAAGGAAGCAAGTATTTGTAAACATCAGCCACGATGGTTTTGAATGAATCACGTAACGCGTCTGTGCTGAGAATCAACCTATGAAATCAAGACATTCTCAAAACAAATCAAGATTCCAATTGACCGTTTCTTTTATTGAGCGATGATCCAAATGTTGCCACGTGCATTAAGCGCGTGAATACTGATTCTGTAGAAAACTTTCCTGGCGCATCGAAGTCACACATTTCCAAATTCGTTTTCCATTGACTTGCTTACTTTGCTCACAGAAAAGAAATGCAGCTCCACTTTTAAAAAATCCAGATCTAATGAATAGAGAGCAACTCCTGAGGCTCCGCGAATGATCTCTGTATTGTTTTTCTTTTCAACACCTGATTGCTGCAGCGTCCATGATGCTGTCTGTATGTTGTCTTTTCTACACGGCTCATTTTGCATTAAACTGCTGATTTACTAGTGACACACTCCCTCGATGCTGCAGGTAAAGCAACCAGGTTTTCTTCTGGTGGAATACTAGATTTTGCTCCGTTTTATGTATTTATTTTAGAAAATAAAGCTACCCTTAACTGCATAATGTCAATTTATTGGATCAATTTAGAAAAACGTTTTAACTGGAGTCATCTGCGTGAAATCAACGTACATTCACTTATTTCTATTTATTGCAACCACATGGCAGACGTGTATCGCAAGAAAGTAATAAGATATCACTTCATAATAAAATACATTTTATTGATGCAGAACAAGGGTGCATTCGTGAAATTCTTTATACAAAATACCATAATGTTACAATAATGGAAACAGCATCTTTAATTTCAAAGAATTATATTCATATAAAGCAGCAACAAATATTGTTGGAACGTGTTCATATCTTGAGGGAATTGAGCTTTTTGTCTTTCACACAGAAAACATCAGCGCTTCTATGACAACGCTCCTTTGGTACAGTACAGCTGGTAGATGGTTCTGCTCAGAGCCGGACCCAGGTTTCTGGAAAACAGACATTCAATCATTTAGCTTTTCTTTGACAACTATATTTTATGATAAGTCTTCTTAGTTTGACTTTACAAGGTTACACCACAAACCTTTTGAGCTTCCCGTAGCGGACGGAGGAGAGGAGTTTTTCTTTCTGTGCATCACTTGCGCATCGTTCATAAGCCGTAAGAAGGCTGGAATGCGAAGACGAGCGGGAACATTAATGCACATTTTTAGGCCAGTCGGTTCTGCTGCGTCAGCATGAAACCGTCACTCGGGATGCAGAAATGTTTCGGTAGGTTTGTGAAACTGAGGCGTCCCGCCGGTACCTGTGTGGCGTGCTGTACTGCTCCAGGATGGCGGCTGCTTTGTCTCCGGACAAACCGCTCACCTGCATCAACTGTCTGGCAAACACTTCTCTCACCGTCTGACACTTAAGCGGGGAAACGCACACAATGCAACAAACGACAACGAAAAACAACACATTTTTCGACCAAATGTTGAAATACGCCACTGAATAACTACTTTTTGAAATCGCTAACCTACTTTGCGTTGGGCCTGTGCCCACAAAACAAACGCACCTTGTTTTTAATGGCGCCGTAGTTGAACTCCGCGAAGGAAATGAGGGAGCAGGAGGGGGTCCCTCGCTCCTCCTCACCACCTCCCCCGTCCCCCTCCAGCTCTCTGGAGCGACAGATGAGCGCACGGTCCTGAAACGGGAGACCAACGGGAACCAAGCAGGCAGCCAGTGTCACATGTGAGAGAGGGAGGCGAGTAACAAAGCCTGATCAACCTTCTCCCTCTGTGCTACAAATAACACATCCATTAGATTCACTACAGTGTGTGTGTGTGTTTCACCTGGTAAAGTCTGATCAGGTATCGTGTCATGACGGTGAGGTAGGCGGCCGACTCCCTCACATCCTGCACTCTCTTCACAAAGAAGCCATCGACTACCTAACACACACACACACACACACACACACACACACACAGTGTGGTAAATACCAACTATAAACAAACACAAAAACAGTTTGCATCCCATCTGTGGGTTCTGAGATGTGCATCTCAAACTGCCATGCAGTGTGTGGGAGTGTGTGTGTCCGTGCACCTGCGTGTTGACTATGGCCTGCTGCAGCGTGGTCTCAGGTAAGCTCAGGTGGGAGGCGGCCGACCCGCACTCCTCCACCAGGTAGCACGGCCGACGAAGACCACACCTCTTCATCCGAAACTGATGCAGTGGGAAGAATCAAGGGAGACCTTTTACGGCTCGATTAGCAACCTCAGGCGCTCGGCTGGAGTTCAAGTGCAGAAACGACGGCCTGTTTTGAGGTCTAACTTTAAGATTTAAAATGAATAAAGTAGGCCAAGTCCGGCCAATGGGATCGCTTCATTTGCCCTGCGCAGATTTCATTTAAAACTAAAATGATTTCCAGGAAATTCAACAGATTTAAACATTTTTTTTTAAGTCATCAAGCTCAATTACCAAACACCTTCGGGTCATAACTATTTTCAGCGCGCAGCGACCAACCTTCTGTTCCCTAAAGCGCCCGTCGATGATGCTGCCGCACAGGTCGTCCATCCTCTTCCTCTCGATGATGTAATCGAGGACGAGCTCCCTGGCGGGGGGAGCGCGCAGCTGCCCTGGAGGAAGACGAAAACAGGAAGGAGACGTGATGCTCTGTGCATGACCAACCAGCGCTCTTCAGCCTGCTCTTTGCACTCGGTCAAGTAGGAACCAGCAGGTAGTTTGACCAGCTGCGTCCGTCCGGGTGTTCGTGGTTACCTGGAACGGGCGCCACCTTCTCCCGAGCGACCCAGAGGAAGTCTCCGACATTTAGCTTCCTAACGTCGAAGTTCACCCCGTTCCTCTGAAGCTCTTTGACCAGCTCCTGCTTGCGGTGGTTGCTCCCGCTGCAGACAAATCGGCGAATCGTCAGGCGCGCTCGCGTGTCTTTGATGCCAGACGGGACAGGTCGGGACACTCGTCTCACCCGGTCGTCTCAATGAAGTCAACGCAGAGAATAATTTCATAGGATCCAGGCGGAAGACACCCTTCGTTGGGCTTCTTGCTCGCTGCCTGAGGATTCTGGACTTTCCCCAAAAGACGCGTCCCACCGGCGTCACTCCTCTGCTGGGTCGCGCACGCCGGCCTGCGGGAGAGATTCAGGTGAATTGTTCGACAGGAGAGGGAGCAGAAAGGGAAGACGTCACTCATTGAAAGCACGCTCACTGTATCCCGTCTTCTTCCTTCTCCTCTTCTTCGTCATCATCACTGGCAGTGAGGTCCACAAGCCCAGGAGCTCGCTGCTCCTCCTCCTCCTCCTCGTCCAGCCATTCTTCACCCGTAGCCTCCCCTCCGTCCCCCCGGGGGACGTCTTTGGGGTCGTGTTCTACGGACTCCAGTCGCTCCGCCAGAGCCAGACCGTCTTCAGTCAGAGAATACCTGAGCGGGGAAGCACAGCCAAGAGAGAGCCGGATGAACAGAGAGCTCCATGAATTACGTTTGACCCGTTTGTGGGGAAAATTCATCTCCACTTCGAAGCCCCTTGAGTTGGTTCGTTATTTTCGGGTGTGCCTCCTGTGTACCTCGCAGGATTGTGGGTCTTTATGACAAAGTTCTTCCGGATCAGAGTGCTCACTGAAGACCAGGCCGTGTACTTACTGCCTAAATCTGGCTGCAGACACACAGACGAACAGAAAGAAGGGAGGAAAGGACTCAATATCAACACGAAGCCACTTCACAACCGGCACCAACACGTGCAACAAGTGTTAACAGGAGCCGCTGGGCGGATTATTAAGCAGCGTTATGAACAATAGTTCACTTACTACAGAGAAAGACTTGTCGCAGAGAAGCTGAGCTTCTGCTTGCAGCTCCATCTTAAACATATAACCTTTGCTTCCTGGGACCTAGGCAGAAACGTTCAATTATGAGGCCACACTTAGACACTAAATACCAAAAACTACTTTGATGGAGAAAGGTGTACCTGCATCTGTCTGTACAAGGTGAGCAGAACAGCATAACCGCCGGACCTCTTCTGGGGCACGTAGTCCCTCTTCTTCCTCCTCCCTCCTCCTTCTCCTTCTTGATCCCCTGCAGCATTCTTCTACAAGGACAGGAACAACAAATGAAAACTTAAGAGGTCAAAAGTCTCCCTAGTAACCTTCGGGCATGTGGTCAAACATCAATGTGGCGTCATTGTAGAACTGCTTCGGCTTTTGACTATTTCTGCTGAGAAAAAATAGGGGCAGCTACTCGCAGCCACGCTTTGTGTTTTTTTAACCGGTGGTGGTGCTAAACCCTTTCTTTGTGTGGATTAAGAGGGAAAAGTTTGTCAGGTTTTGGTTGCGGTGAAAAGCGGGGCTGTTTTTCAATTAAGCTCATTAGTCCGTCAACAGGTCTTACAATTCAAAAGGGACATTTACAACAATTTGTCCTTTTCGATTGCCGCATCTGTGCATTTACACGGTGAGGCACACTCTCCCTTCAGATGTACCTTTCTGGACGGAGCCAGTCTGTTGTTGTCCTGCCCACCAGGAGGGGGCGCTCCTTCAGGTAGAGATCGAGTAGGAGCGTCTGGACCTGCAGCAGAGGATGAACAACAACGACCGAGGACTAAAACGTTGGTGTTTTATTTAGTTTTTTCACTGTTTGCTTGGAGATTCTGGAGACTTCATCTGCTGCCCTGTGAACCTTTTTATCTGGTGTTTATCTCCAGGGTCTGTGTTCTCTTGCCTATTGTTTGTTAGAAACATCGGCCATTGCTCGTGGCAATTAGAAAAGCAACAATGACCGTCTCACCGTTTTCCCTGAGGTACCGTTGCAGCTTTTCATCCAGTATTTTACAGATGCCGTCTCCAAAGTTCTGGAGGATCTTTGCCTCTTTGGCGTTTTGAAGGGGTAACGGATACTTGTTCAGAGAGCCGATGGCCTGTAAAAATAACAACAACACGCATGAGTGAAATGTGTCTTTCATTCATTTCGGTTAATGATCAATTCTACAGCTTTGTCCTTTTTGGATGTTCAATTTCTTGGTTTTGTCTTGTGTTCTGTACGAAAATGACGCACACATATGTTGATAAATATGACCGTTTAAACAACATATGGTCACATGAAAACAAAACCGGATTAGTGTACAAACATCGTCCTTCTAGAAAACGTCTAATGTTTTAAAATGTCACATTTAAACCTACGGTATCGTCTACAATTCTACACTTGACGCCGTTCGCTTTCACTTCGGATAAACGCTCGGAACACTTTCACACCAGTTACATGGACAGAACACGAGGAGACCTTCTGGTACGTGTACTGGGTCTTCAGTCCCTTCTCCTTGGCCTCGTCCCGGAGCTCCGTGAGCCACTTGAGGAACAGCGGGTTCGGGCAGGCGGGCACAGCGCGTTTGCGACCCAGCCGGACCGACTCCGCAGCTGGCATCACTTTGGCTCTGATGAAGTAGTGATGAGACTGGCGGGACGCTGACACACCATCGAACAGCTAACTCGATGCTAACAATAACAACAACAACAACAACAACCGCGTCATGATGATTAAGCGAACATAATTAACCATTTTGACGTTTTCGTAAAATGGTTAATTAAAGGTATTACGTATTCATGTCTGTGTCCTGTGAATGCCGCTCACCTTTAACCAAGTTATTGTGTGGTTATTGTGTTCGAAAGCTGGCGCCTTGATTTCCAAAGCACGGCGCACTTCCTGGTGACGTCACTTTCAGGAACGAAAAGGAGGCGGGGAAAGGCGCACATTTGTGACGTATGTTATTACACACTCGGCAGTGGAGTCACTATGCTTTATATAAACTGTACTTCTGCACTGAAACACAAATCATACACACAAAATACAGAATATATTACATCTCAGTCAGAAGCGAAGACTTCATTCTAAAATAGAAACACCAAATAAATACCTCTCACAATATTATAATAAATTACACTTATGTAAACGTATAAACGTATCTGCAGTTTGTCATTTTAATTTGCAGCATGCTGTAAACTATGAACACAATTGTAATGTGTTTATTCCAACTGAATAATTATTCAGTTGTATTTACTCAGTGGTTTTGGTTTCTTGGATAATTACAACATCATAATTCAAAAGGCCTGCTTTAAATAGTCAGAATTCCTGCATGTGCAAATTAATATTTTTTGCTTTTAATATTTGCCAAATCAAGCAGTAGATAAAAACTCTAAGGCTTTGCCTTCAAGACCATCAATGTCAATGTCATGGTGAGGCAGGAAAAGTCATAGGCTCACAAACCGCCGTGGAAACCCTGAACGTCTCTGCAATGGTCACATATACGGATTGTGCCGGTGAACCCGACGCTCTGAGTTTTGTCCGTTCTAAATACAATCGGTGCCGGTTACCTCTGGAAACCGTTATCCAATCCGCTAGCCTGTTTCCTTAGGCTGAAGGGCGGCTGCAGGATTCCTCCAACAAGACCCAACAGAGACCAAGAATCCAGACGCGCCCTCCAAACCACAACCGTTCTCTTTCTTACAGTCAAGAGTCCTGTGGACTCTTCTTTCATACGCTCACACACAGAGATAAGTGGGTGGCGTGAAACGTAATTAACCAACGTTTGTGTTAAAATGAAAGACGGTGGCTGTAAAATGAGGCCGATTTGTTCAGAGAATGGAATGACATGCGTCAGATTTTTCAGTACTCAACATATTTTAGTAACCACATGATTTGGAGCTAAATATACATCGACAGTCAAGCCACTTTCCACTATCACTCGAATGCTTTAATGTTAATATTGAATTGTTTTTACTTATATCCTCTATTACCTTCCACCACTCACTAATTTGAGGATCGTGTAAGTTGACTGAGTGCATTTTAAAATAGCAAAAAACATTGCACATGCACACTGAGTCGCCATCTTTCTTTGAGTTAGCTTGTTAACTCTACATTCCGTGTTTTGATGACCACCCTGATGCGTTGATTTGATTGTTAAACCTCCTCGGGCTTCATTATCCAGCCGAACCGCTTTAGATTTGAACCACACCACAAATCAGTTACAAGGGCCGCAGTTCGCTCTGTTCAACCACAATGCATCCGTAAAGTACAAATAATAAGTGAAATAAAAATACAATCTTGTAATATATTACTCCCTTTAATGAACAAAGTACTTTTTTTCATAGAAAATCTCTCTTTTTCACAGGAAATAGTCAGAGGAAGAAAAAAGATTGGTATTGTTGTACATGTTTAAGAGCTCTTCCGCACCACAATCACACGTAAAAAAACGTAGGCCGGTTAGTGGGAGTCGGGGGGCCTTTGTTGGCGCTTAGTTTCATTAAAGTCGGAGTGTGTGATATACAGAGATTCCCAGATCCACACGCGCACATTCATACATTTATATACATTTCCTTTCTGACATGCATCCTGTACCACTTCTTCACTTATATGTCCTCACGTCTCGATCACCCCGCCCCTCTACTGCCCCGCCGACCCTGTGGTGTCATCGCTGTCGGCTCCCTGAGGGGATCCCGGCGACGATCCCTCGCCCTCGGCGCCGCCGCCTCCTCCCCCTCCCGCGGCCCTCCTCGCCGCCTTCCCCTTCAGCAGGGCGCTGTCGGGGTGCAGCGAGTGGAGGTGCAGCAGCAGCGCGTCCTGAGTCGCCGCCGTGAGGCCGCACTCCTCGCAGACGTACAGCTTGTTGCGCCGCTCCTTGTAGGCGTACTTCTGGGTGACGCTGTGGATCTTCTTCATGTGGGACTCCAGGGAGCAGCGCTGGGTGAAGGCCTTGTCGCAGAGCGTGCACTTGTAGGGCCGGACGCCTGTTTGGAGAACGCACGCGGGGGGGGGGGGGGGGAGGCGGGGGGATACAAAAAGTCACGTTCTGGCATCCGTTGCGTTTGTGTTTGTGTGAGGATGAAAAAAAAGGGAGAGCGCGTAGTCACCTGTGTGCGTGCGGACGTGTCTCTTGAGGTCAAAGGTGTCGTTGAAGCCCTTCCCGCAGAAGCTGCACAGGTGCCTCTTGGTGTCGTTGTGGCACTTGAGATGCCGGTTCAACATGCGCTGGTACGAGAAGGTCTTCTGGCAAACCTGCGACGACGACACAAACGGAAGGTTTGTCAGGTGGATTTTCATTCCTCACAAAATGTAAAACTAAAAAGGTGTAATGATCATTTCCAAAGCTGAAATGTTTATTTACTAGTTTACATTATTGGGTCGTGGCGTCACGTCAGCTACAGAAAATAAATATAATCAACCAAGTTAATGGACACAAGTGAGGTGGTAGATGATTAAGAAGGTAATAGTCAGACGTACGTGGCACACGTACGCCCCCGTAGGTCCCTTCATCCCCGTCAGCAAACTCTGGCTTTGACCCGTCGATCTGGTCACCATGGAGACCGCTTCCACGGGTTCAGGTGTGGACGTTAAGGCGACCGGCATCTCAGTGGCATGTGGCATGAGGCTTGGCAGGGAGGGGATGGGGGGGAGAGAGAGGGGAGGAGGGGGAGGAGGAGGAAGAGGAGGGGAGTCGCCCGTGGTTATCTGCGGCGGCGGAGGGAAAATGTTGACGTTACAAAAATGAAGTTGTTGTTTTACGTCACAGAACGTGAGCGGTACCAAAAAAAAAAAAAAAAGCTCAAACGCGCTCACCTTCATTTTGGACCGGACGTACGTGGAGCCGGCCTGCGCCCGCCTCCTGACGTCGGTCCTCCCCCCCGCTGAGGGCGCCGGGCTCCGCGGCCGGCCCAGCACGGTGCTGGACGGCAGCTCGGCGCGCGGCTGCGCCTCGCGGGGCGACCGCGTGGTGAGGCAGAGCGGGGTCATCTCGGCGGGGCTGGCTTCGGCCCCCGTCATCAGGACGGAGGACGGGAAGATGGAGACTGGAAGGGGGCGAGGAGGAGGAGGAGGAGGAGGATGTTATTAGAATAACCTTTGATGTTGTGATCTTTGACATGTGGAATCGGAAAAAGGTTCAAGCTAAAAGTCCCGTTCACGTCACGTCATGAGAAGCGGGACGTCTTCTGGCTTTTAGGGGAGTTTAGCGCTTTCAGAAAAGAAATAACGACTCACACGAGAAGGAGTTCAAACACATTTCACCTCAGAGACCAGAAGTCACAAGTCGACCGCGTTCCAGCACAACAGGTCGGTTAGCCGCCGTTAGCCGCCGTTAGCACTGCGCCGGTATTTTGTTCAAACAAACAAGCTAACCTCATAGTCCACGCATTGAGATAGAAGAGCGTTGTCAGTATAACGGACACGTACGTTCTATAATCGCTAACTGAGGGCATTTTACTACAGTTTTTTCAGTTTTTTCAGCAGCCATTTTGGATTTTCAGCTCGGCCTTGCCGGCGTTCCTTCGGCATTCCATTTAAAACATCCAACTGGAAACTTGGTAAACTAGTTTGGGGAGATTGAGTAACTACTAGCCACTGAAAGCAAAGTCAAGTATTCCCGTTTGACTTGCGTGTGAGTCAACCGGCGCCACCGAAAAACCAAACCGCTGTTCCTTTCATCGCATTCATCATCCTAAAAAAGGTGCTTCTGTGACGACGCGTAACATCCGACCCACTAATGGTCCATGGAAATCTAAACCGAACACACTTTAATTCACTTCAGTTAGTTACCACTTCACAACACTTTGATTCGAAAACGCAGCTTTAAAAACTTCAAATAGACGGAACGGGAGGAGAGAAAGAGAACGAGGCACCGGGAGCAATAAAAGCGGATGAGTTTCTCATCGTGTGTGTGTGTGCGCTAGGTGTGGTTCAGCTCGGTGAAGAAGACAACGAATCAGGTGACTGTGCCGGGGCCTCGATCTGATAAAACTCAAATGCAGATGCAAATGAAGCCCCACAGCGAGCTGCACCGATGAGGAGACACAAGCACGGATGTGCAACAGGTAACGGTTCGCTGTGAGGCGGGAAGGAGACGCCACTTTAGAAGGACGACAGGCTGGATTCAGTTTTAAATTAATAGCACTCACTGGCCAAAAGTAGTGACTTATTGCAGTAATCTGTATATTATTCCTAAAATAATGTTCTTATACATAAAAGAAGGGCACTGCTGCTAAAGCTACAGGTGATTGAAGAATGTCGACAGGTTCCCCGTGGTGATGCAAACGTCCTCAGAAAAGCAATATGCTTTAGTTATTGTGGTCAACACACAACAGGAGCCTTCTGAAAGTCAATGAACAGTGATTAAGCTCATTAATCTGATGCACAAACCCAAATGTCTCAGAGGATGATAAGAAGCTCAAATCAGACTTTCTAAATCTGCAGGATAGCGTTCTGCTCCACGTCGCCCCGTGTCCCGACACCATGCGTCAGAAAGGGCGTTTCTTCAGAGGAGCAGCATCCAGCCTTATTTGTGCTTTCATTACGGTACAAACTGTTGGACGTGATTTCAGCTCCCGAAGCAGCTTTTTAACCCTTTCTCCATTATTCCTGTGCACTGATTTCTGAGGCGACGGCTGCCGGCTGCACATTTAATCTCATTTTGTGTTGTTTGTTCACTCCCTCCCCCCCTCGTCGACCAAACGAATAAAGTGTGTGTGTGTGTGTGCGTTTGGTTGGGGTTTTTTTTTCACGCCGAGAGAACAGGTCGTGTGGTTCTGAAACGCACTTCTTGGATTTATTTCCATATCCCGTTAACGGCAGCCGGGGGAGAAACACAAAGAGTCAGCAAACGAGATAACTTCATCAAACACAAGGTGTGGGTCGGCCTGTGTGTGTGTGTGTGTGTGTGTGTGTGTGTGTGTGTGTGTTTGCTGAGGGCGTACTGTCTGCCGCAGCAGGCCGCCTTCAGGGTCCGTTACATTTCCTTCCATCCCGTGAACATTAACCCAGCAGGAGACCCTCGCAGATCCCATGAACAAACGACAACTGATAGACGCGTGTGCTGACCTCTAAACCGTAGTCTCCACACGTCACGCGAGCAGGTGGACGCCACCCCGGTGTGCGTGAGCCCCGTCCATCATCGACCAGGAACCCAAAATGTACTTTAATAACCATAATTGATGGTGTTCATACTGAAATGGTGCATGTATGATCAGGCCCGGGTGGTAGTATGTAAATGGGAAGCATTGTCCTCTTCCGGGGTTTTGGAAATCATTTTCTGTTTGTAATTTTACTAATGCTCTTGTACAGATTTAACGGTTTGTCCCCAGCAGAAGACACTTTCCACTGTGCCTTTAGAAACCTGTGATAAGAGTTTAAACGTCTCATCTCACGCTGTTCTTAAAACACCAGTCAGGCAGGTACGTCGAGTAACGGCACATACCGACTTAAGCGGAGACAGTTGCGCACTAACTGCGTAATTACGCACTGACGCGCAGTTTCGGTTTTATCCTCGGGACATATTACCACGGAAAATGTAATAATTTGATTGAGAAATTTAAAAAAAATGCCGTTTTCTATGAATGATTCTCGTTTTATAAAAAGGACAAAAATGCCTGAACCCAGAGTCAAATTATTTGTCCATTTTCTTCGCATTAAGTGGATCAGTCCCGAGTCACCTGCATTCTCCCACCAGGCTTATTATCGGTTATACGAGGATCATTAGTCCTTTAAAGCCGCCTGTAAATGACGCGCACTTCACTTGGTTCAAATGTTCCGGTTCCAATAGCAGAGAGGACGTAAAAGTCAATGATTGAAAGTTAACGGTGAGGAGATGTCGGGAATGGGAGACAGGGAGGGGGAAGGGGGAGAGAGAGCGAGAGAAAGAGGTTCAGGGTGTAGTCCGTTACTTGTTATCTGATACCAACGTGGTCTTACAATAAAAGCTCTGCCGATGGCAACAATGGAGACTGTTCTCGGGATGGGGGGGTGAGGGTGGGCGGTTTGCGAGTCATTTAAATGCAAAGTTGGGGGCAAAAGCCGCACGAAGTTCACATTTGACAGTTAACAACATGTCGGAACTTGTTAAGATTTTTTTTTTTGTTCTCCAGTTGGGGCACCGAAAGTCCGAAAAACGGTGTTTCCTGAGGTGAGATGTCCCCACGGGAGTTTTATTAAGGCCGAAGAGGACAACTTGGCTGGAAGAACATTCCCAGAAACACAAATAAATGGAACAAACGCGCTGCGCCTTCATGGTGTCTGCGTAAGTCAAGGGGAAGAAAGGCTGCAGGGGGTCGAAGGTCCGTCTGTGAAAAGCAACGGGCCCTTAGGAGCCTCTAGGCCGCAGTTATGAAAAAACACAAACGCGGGCGTCCTCGGCGTCTCTCTGACGCAATGTCCCCTGGGTGACGTTTGAATAAAGAACTCCAGAACTCCTTCACAATCCAGTTTTACACTCAAACAAAACGCACTGTACATCAACGGGAGAACCCTAAAACCCTCGACCATCGCTCCCCGCCCGCGGCCCGCGGTGTTTCCCGTTATTCGGTGCCCTCCACCCCCCCCTCCCCCGCCCCGGGGGACCGCAGCGGCCCCGTTACAATCACGACCCGCCAACATTCCTGCTCGGATCCGTTACCGGACGGCAACCGGCACACCCGGTACCCCACTTCTCTCTGGCGGGTCCACGTTTTGAAAATAATGGAAGCCTCAGAAAGGCGTCCCGCGCGCCGGGGACTCACCTGGGACGTAGACGTCGCCTCGCTCGTGATCGGGGACTTCGCTCCAGTTCCGCTTTCCAGGCGAAACATTGGACTTTTTCACCAGAAAGGTCCGCGGCATTCTGGATTAATTGACAAGTCTCTCGGGGGGTTTGGGTTTTTTTTTTGGTGTCAAAGTCGCCTGAAGCGACGTGAAGTGAACTAAAAGTTACAAAAGCAGGAAACTCCACAGTTGGAAGAAAAACATGGAAGGTGTCGGTCCCCTGTTCTCCTTCCTCCTCACACCTTTTCTCCTCGTTTCGTCAGCTTGATCCGGATTAAATCCTCTTTTTCGTCGCCGGTTCACACCTTTGTCCCCCCCCCCGGTTCTCCTGGCAGCGCTGACTAAAACGAGAAAAGGCACAGAGACGTGTTTCGCCGGACAGGTGAGTCCGCTCAGGTGTGCAGCCCAGACAGGTAAGGACGGATGTCTCCTTCGGCGCTGAGGAATAACGGGAGTGGGTGAGAGAGCGGGTTGGGGGGGGGAGAAAAACAACGGAAGAGCATATCCTGATCTCTCTCTCTCACACGCACGCACACACACACACACACACACGTCGGAGGTGGGTTAAAAAAAAAACAGCACAGGTACTCATTCGAAAAGCAGGAAACCGGCGCCAGCGCGCATGCGCGAGATAAATAACGGTGACAACAGGGCCGAGGAGAGAGACTGGATCGCGTATACCTGCTGAACCGGTTTACCCTCCCTCCCTCCCTCCCGCCCCTCGCTCTCTGCCTCCCCCCCCCTCCCCACCTCTTCTCCATTCCGCTGCGAGGTGTGGGGCGCGGTGCGCGCTGCCGGGGAGGAAAGACGTCCAGGGAGGGGTGAGGGGAGGAAAGACGGTCCAGGGAGGGGTGAGGAGCTGCTGTGCGGGACACTGCATTGACATCCTCTGTGCGGATTCGTTCAACAGTAAAAGAAACGTTCTTGTGCAGGTTTACACCCACACACGCACGTTAGAGGGGGTTTGTGCTGATGTGGTGGTTATTTTGCACCGAAAATGATCTTTGAACGTTTATTATCGTGTCGCTTCAACGCATAGTTTCTCCTTTGAATAACACATTTTCACTCTTATACTATATTTTACCATTCTAATAAATAATGATATTTATAGTTGTTGGTTGCAGCCATATTGTGTTTGTCAACAGCTGATATGCTTGTTGGTTTATCTGCTACTGGTATTATTGTTTCAGCCGTCGTTGATAAGCGGTATCACAGCACTTTGTTCATTTGCAGATAAATGGACAAGCAAGTATAGTAAATGATTCATTAAGAGATCAGCGCCCCCCCCCCTCCACCTCCCGCTGTGTGTGTTTACAACCCCCTCCTGCTTCTCCACTATTCTCTTGTCTTTATAATTAAGCCAACACACACACACACACTCTCACGCACACACACACACACACACACATGCATGCAGATCCCTGAACTTATCCCCAGAAGCACCTGAAACCTTAAAATAATAACACAGGGAGACAAAAGTACACATATACTGCTCTTATAAATTATCATTATTTATTACTTTAATGATAACATCTTTCTCAAATATTGATTTTGAAAAATAAAATATGCAGAAAACAGAATGCCACTTCCTAAGAAGTGAAAGCTGAAGTGTCCTCGTCCTGCGTTCTCCTTCCTGGCCAGCAGGGGGCGACTCCTCTGCTCCCATAGACGTCTATGAGGAAATGACTCTACTTCTCTGTAGTGACCAGCAGGGGGCGACTCCTCTGCTCCCATAGACGTCTATGAGGAAATGACTCTACTTCTCTGTAGTGACCAGCAGGGGGCGACTCCTCTGCTCCCATAGACGTCTATGAGGAAATGACTCTACTCCTCTCTTGATTTATTCCCTCAGTAAACACTGTAAACGTGAGTTTATGTCTCAGTCTCTAGTTTCAAGTCTTCTTCAATTCAGCATGATGTTCATTTAGTGACTGATGGTCCGTTTGGAGTCAAACAGGCCATAAAACAGGGGAGGTTTTAGGGGGGAACGCCGATCCACGCTCAGGCCTTCCTGCCTGGTTCAGCATGTTGTTAATTTCACCTGAACAATTCTCCCCGTCAGGTGTTCCGAGATCAATAAAATCACATCAAAGGCTCAGATTTTCATATCAGTCAACTATATTGAAATTGAAGCAGAGGAAGAACGAAGTTGATGCTTATCAAAATAAGAAAAATGCAAAATGAGGAAATCTCTCCCATGGGGGCGACGCATGAACTGAACTAAATCAATGTTACGCGTTCAGTCTTTCGAGATTTATATCTGCAAAACGCCAGTGGGAATCACTCGCCCAAGACGGTTTTGTATATTTAAATGCGTCTCTCGTTTGTGTATTCAAAGCCTCTGCTTTGCTCGACTCAACTTTTGAACCTCCTCTCCGCTGAAGGAGTGGTGGCTGCGAATGACCCGACGGCATGCTGTCGGAGTAGTTTGGGCGGACGAGCCGCCTTCCTCCATCCCTCCTTCATCCCTCCTCCTCCCTCCTTTCTGAACCCCTTTGCTAACAGTGATTTAGTCACCTTTAACCGCCTTCCTCGTCCTCACGCCACACATTACATCGTGCACTGCTTCCTTGTGAGCGAGAGGGAAAGGCCTCAAACGTCGATGTGTGACTTTCGTTTCCTCCCTGAGTCAGCACGCAGAGGTTTGAGTTGAAAGGGAGATAGAGATGCAGAGACAGAGAGAGAGACGAGCTCCGGTTCAACCTGATGGACGACTTTGTCTCATCCATCTACTGATATTCATCTTGTCGCTCTCCCTCACAACATGAGGCCACGTTAAAGGAACAAAAAGATGGAGATGCAGATGCTGGCGCCCCGTCACCTCGTCTTTGCTGATGGAAGTTCTTGGTCCATTTCGAGTTCCAGCGGTCGAGGAAGGAGGGATGTGGGGGTCAGCGCTCTGATCTAAACAACAGCACCAAACACACAATACAGCAGAGACACACACAGTTTAGATCAGAGCTTTAAATGTATGTTTTGAAAATGAATATAATAATTGTATAATATACAATTCTGTTTGGAGTGGTGGAGTGGAGTTTCTTTTTCTATGAACATTTTGACCTTCTTCAGTTTCATTTCTCCAATCAGCCGGGACACTTTATTTATGGTCTGTGATTGTGTGTGTGTGTGTGTTTGTATAAATATGCACATTCATTTCTAGTAAAGGATGTTTCAAAATAAATAATAAAATTAAAAAATAGGATTTATTAATGTTATCAAATTTATTCACAAATATCATCAATATTGAGCGATAAAAAATGTAAAAATGTGCACTTGATGTTGAAAAATGACCACGTTCGTGAGTAACAAAAGAAGAAGATCTTTTCAGTTTCAAAGTTTCGATCAGCAGGTTCAGCTGCATTTCTAAATATGTTTAAATCCTCCCCTTTAAAGGTATTATTCCGTACACCTGTGGAAGAATCACTCTCGCTTGAAGGCTTATGAAAACATTCCATCACTTTGTTTTTGACACGTCCGATACACACCCGCGTCTCCTTTAGTTCAAACAGGTTTATTATTTAACGTTTGAAAATAACACCATGTTATTACCATGATTATTTCTATATAATATTAAGAATAAAATGCATAGGTAGTGCACTAAACAAATGGATTGCATTCTCTTTCTATTTAATTGTTTTCAGAATAATAAGGTGATATAACAAACAAACAAACAAACCAAAATACTGGTAAAATACATATTTTTCATATTGCCCGAAGTTGGCTGGGATAGACTCCAGCCCCCCCGCGACCCTGCGTGCAGGATAAGCGGTGTGAAGATGGATGGATGGATGGTGTATTTTCATTATTAAAACTATAATAATAAACTTGCATTGACTTGTCCTCGGTGAATTCGACAGTAGATGGCGCTAGTGAGCTCCAAAGCAGCGACCGCAATCAGGAAGTAGTGCAGAAGAAGTAAGTCCGGTGTTACGGTTTATTAAGCGACCCTGTTAAACCGAAGACGTTTGTCCAAATGCGTTACGACAGCTGGTGAAAATAAATGATGAATTAATGATTGTTTCCTGTGAGTCTATTTATTTGAGGGTTTTTCAGGGACGTTTAATTATATATTAATTATATATAAGTATTGTAGGATAACATTACGGTTTTTTTCCAAAATCACAAACGATTTGAGTTCGTGTTGTTGTTACATTTTATTATTATACAATACATATGTTACCCAATGACGAGTAAGTATATTAAAATATTAGATTATTTAACTTTTCCCTTAAATAAAATAGTTGGGCATTCACGAAAACAGCCACGTGATCTCAACGGCGGCCGCAGCTGCGACGACGGACCGGCGGGCGCGTGCGACTGACGTTCGCCATTTAACACGGCCGCTCGGAACACCGAAACACCGGAAGTGCTCCCTGCGGCTCCTCTTGTTTATATGAAGGCGACCGCTGCTCCCGTCGCAGTCCGACGTGAGCGTCCACCGGCTCGTCCGCCGCCTCCCTCACCGACCGACCGACAGGTCCTCTACGCGTGCGCGGCTTTACTCCACGTCACTCCGAACGGCCGCTCGAGTCGCGCTCGTCCATGGCTACCAGGAAGAGACCCGGCGAGAACGGCCGGCGGGACGGAACTCCATCCAAACACAAGCCCCCCAGGGCGGACGGACCCGGTCACGTGGCCGCCTTGATCCTGGCGCGCGGGGGGAGCAAAGGGATCCCCCTGAAAAACATCAAGATGCTAGCGGGGGTGCCGCTCCTCGGCTGGGTGCTGAGGGCCGCGGTGGACTCCAAGAAGTTCTCGAGGTAGGAACGACGCAGCGAGGGAGCGAAACGAAGCGTCACCCTCAGAGGGAACATCTCGACTTTGTGTAACTCATTGATCCGTTGCTGTGTGATCGTGTCAGATGCGTAGAAGAATATTATTATTAATTTGAGTTATAATCATAAACCGTCAATATGAAATGTTCATTGGACTCAGACTTTAATTACATTTATCAAATATAAAAAGGTAAAATATTCTTTTTTTTTTTTTTTTTTTGAAAAAATATTCCAGATGACAAGAAACTCAACTGCAAACTGTGACTTCATACATCAAAAATATTATTGATGCCACACATTTGACTTCCCCCAGTGTTTGGGTTTCCACTGACCACGACGAGATCGAGAAGGTGGCGAGGGCCTGCGGGGCCCAGGTGCACCGCAGGAGTCCCGAGGTGTCCAAGGACTCCTCCTCGTCCCTGGACACCATCCAAGAGTTTTGCAGGCTCAACCCAGGTGTGTGTCCTCCTTCCACCAGGATGTGTGTCCTCCTTCCACCAGGATGTGCGCGCGCAACTGGTCCATCAGCTGCGCCACGCCCCCCCCCACGACGCCGCTAGTGCTACATACTGTCTGACGCGCTCTCGCTCAGGCTTCCTCCCCCCAGCGTTTTCCTTTTGTTGGGCGAGTTTTTCCTGTGCCGCTGGTTTATTTTTGGACTACGCAAAATGAGCTGCAAGGACGGCGCACGTGAACCTGTCGTCGTCTTTTTTTTTTCTTTCTTTCACAGAAGTAGACTTTGTGTGCCACATCCAGGCCACGTCACCGTGTCTCCACCCGTTCCACCTGACGGAGGCCCTGGAGATGATCACGGAGCAGGGCTACGATTCGGTCTTCGCCGTGGTCCGCAGACACCATTTCCGCTGGCAGGAGGTCAATAAAGCATGTGAGCTCCCTTCACCAGCCGCCACGGTACACGCGCACGTCTGGGCCGCGGGTTCTACGGGTGAAACTCTGAACGTTCCGCGCTGCCTTCCCCCTCTAGCCGGCGAGCTCACCAGGCCGCTCAATCTGGACCCGCTCAACCGCCCCCGCCGCCAGGACTGGGACGGCGAGCTGTGTGAGAACGGCTCCTTCTACTTCAGCACGAGGCACTGCATAATGAACGAGGGGCTCCTGCAGGTGAAGTGGGCGCGCGGCGCCGTTAGCGCCGTTAGCCGTGAGAGGCGAACGGAAAAAAAAGGCACCTTCTTCCACGACTGTGAATGAAAGAAGTGACTTTCCTCCTTTTTCGATTTCACGGCTTCGTGTCTCCAGGGCGGCAAGGTGGCGTACTACGAGATGAAGGCCGAGTACAGCGTGGACATCGACGTGGACATCGACTGGCCCGTGGCCGAGCAGAGGGTTCTCCGGTGAGAAGCACCTTTTTATATCCCGAGGCTGACTTGCCCGTTCCTGAGCCCCCCCGGCTCTCCAGATCCAACCTGTGCCTCCTTTTCCTAAGCTACGGCTACTTCGGCGAGGCCAACCCGGAGGTGGTGCGCCTGATGTTCTGCAACGTCTCCGGGTGTTTGACGGAAGGCAGGATCTACCTGTCCAAGTCCGGGGAGCAGATGGTGTCCGTTAACACCAGAGACACGGCGGGCATCCGCATGCTGCAGAGGGAGAACACCGAGGTCGGGCCTGATGACGAGCCGCTCATCATCTGCTGCTGCTGCTGCTGCTAACACCTTCTGCCTGGGCTCCACCAGGTGGTGCTGCTGACCTCCGCGCTGGACTCCGTGGGCCGGTCCCTGGCCGACAGGGTGGCCGAGGTGACGGGCTGCCAGGTGGTGGAGGTGGGGGCGGAGCCCTTGAAGGAACTGAAGCCGATGGTGGAGGCGAAGAAGCTCGGCTGGAAGGACGTGGCGTTCATGGGTAAAAGGCCTCCGCCGTAGCGGCGTTAAAGCAGCTCATCCACAGCAGATTCGCGCCCGACCGTTGAGGTCATTGTCGGTAAAGGAAAGCGGATCTTTTACACAAGATTTGTTTCGTTTATTTATCATTCATCTCCTCCTCAGGTTGCGACATGCCGGACGTCGGCTGCCTGAACCTGGCGGGTTTGAGCGCGGTGCCCCACGACGCCCCGTCGGTCGCCATCAACGCCGCCAAGTACATCTGCCGCAGCGGCGGGGGAGCGGGAGCCGTGAGGGAGTTCGCTGAGCACATCCTGCTGCAGAAGGAAAAAGCAAAGGCGCGGCGGAGGAGCACCGACAGCGTTTGATTCAACTACGAATACTAATCCTAAAAGTGGTGATGCTGATGATGATTATGGTGCCGGTGAGAATGAATCAAGCGTGCAGTGTTGTCTGAGGTTCTACTCGTGAGCTTCGAGTTAGTTAAATTTATTTAGCAGGTTAAATGTCAGGACTGGCTAAAAAAGTGAGATTATGAGTGTTGGATGAAAAAGAAGGATTTTTAGTCATACTGTCAATATGGGTTTACGATATTTATCAAACATTGTACTTGTAATTCAAGTTTTCAAAGGTGCCATTTAAAAAAAAATGTAATTCTACCAAATAATTTTAATAAATATTTGATGATCCGATGTTGAGAAACGCTGTGTTTTTGATGCTGTCTTCACGTTGGTTAAAGATTTTGCGAATCTAGTTGACTGTTGGATATTAAACCTTTATTTCTAATCCATAAATTACTGAACGTGTTTCCTTACAGATCCTATCTGTAAATTCCTACATTCATCGACCAATTCATTGAGATGCACTATATGTATAAATATATATATATATATATATATGGAAATAATGAACACAGCCCCTGCAATATTAATATGATTGTTTATACATGATCAGCAAATCAACAAATGAATACAAACATCTCACTTGTATTTAGAAACGATTCACAGTCGGACAACAAGAGAATGTTTTCAGAAGCCAAAAAGCGTATTTAAAAAGATGACTGTTTTAAAGTGCAACGAATGCAAAGAAAGAAGAGGAATCGCCGAGCTCGGCGTGTGGTTCTGTCACGCCGTCATGTCACCGGCGTGATGGTCAGCGGCCCTTCGTTCTTCCTGGACTTGTTGGTGCAGGGGCTGAAGAACGGGTGGATGCACTCGCTGAAGGTGTCGTTGAAAGTGTAGATGTGAGTTTTAGCATCGACGTTGTAGAAAGACACCTGCGGAGCCAAAGAGGACACGCTGCGCTCACTCACTTGGTCACAGATTAAAAAAAAAACACAAGCCTACGTCACGTGCGTTGCCCACAATGCACCTGTCCATTCTCAAAGTCCACAAATATCCCGATCCTGTGCGGCCGCTGGGTCAGAGGCACATCTGCCGAGGGTTCGCTGCGAAAGGCGTACTTCTTCCTGCGGGTGGTCGACCACCGGGAGAGGAAAGGACACGTTAAGCTGGGAAGGGGGCCGGGGGGAGAGGGGGGTTGTGGGTAATCGATGGGCCGCGCTCACTTGTCTCTCAGGCTGAGGAACCAGTACCCGTTGCTCGGCGTGACGTTGATCTTCCCCTTCCTGTTCATCGATTGTCTGGCTACTCCGAGGTCCCAGTCGGTCTTCCCGCCCACATCCACCTGATCACACACACACACACGTGTAATTAACACGGAACACAGACATGTCTTTTGTCTACCTGGCGTCCTTCTGTCCTCTTTTAAAACATCCGAAATACACATTTAACATCTTCCCCAAAAGCTCGCATTAATTAGCACCTGGTTTGCATCTAATTACAAAAGAAAATCCCCCGGGTAAAAGTCAGTGATCATTTCCTCCCTTTAATCCACATCATCTCTTCCTCTCTGAGCCAAATGATGCTCTCACCTCCCAGTAGTGTCTCCCGGAGGAGATGGCCTCCCTCCCAATGACGCAGACGACCCTGTCGAACCTCTCCGGGTTGTCCGGAAGCATCTGGTGTCGATCTCCGCACCTCACCTGCAGAGGCACAGGGAGCTGATCAATGCCGCGCTTCCCGGACGTTGAAAACACAAAAAAAGTCTCGACTCGACTCGACAGGCGTCTCACACTCTTCATGTCCTCTGACAGGATCAGTTTGGGGTGAGCGGTGTTGACGTCCAGCGTCACGTCCACTGTGTCCCGAGAAGGAAGGAGAAAAACAGTGAATAAACGTCGTCAGTGATCGCGCGTCCGAGATGTGTGCACGAATCGGCGCTTGGTACCTGCGTACTCCTGAACCCTCCTCATCCCTGCAGAGAAACACGATTGAATGGGGTTTATACCACAAAACAACAATGCATGCTGTGCACGGTTAACCGGCAGGGTGGATGAGGTGCTGTGTGTGTGTTTACACTCACTGGGCTCACTCCGGAGCGGACTGGGCGCCCGCGGCGAGGCAGGGAAACCTGGAAAGGAGCAACCCGGGAGCTGCACTTAATGATCGAGCTGCGCTTCATCTTTGGAAAGAGGCCTCGCGTTTTGTTTTTTCCATCCCACCTGTTTCTGCGATGGTCAACAGGTCCTCCTGGAACCTCTCCAGCAGGGCAGCCAGCGACCTGTAGATGCTCCCCGTTCCCAGGTCGGAGTTCACCGACACCCTGGACCAGTCTTTGGCGGGCGGACGACCGGAGAGGGTGGGGAACGTCTGGCAAGAAGGTGGGAAGCAGATGTGTCTCTGTTTGAGCGTTCGAAACGACGCGCGCGGGTCGGCTGTCTTGTCGTGGCCTCGTCACGTCCTCACCCACCTTCACGCAGTGCAGGTGGTCGTCCGATTGGGCGAGCTCGGCGAGGGTGCTTTCCCTGCACCGCAGCTCTTCCACCTCCAGCTCCAGCTGTCGCACCATGGCGTCGGCCTGTAGCGCGGCCGCCCTTCGGCTGATGTCCGTCACCTCCGCCAGCTCGGCCTGGGAGTGCTGCATGGCGGACGCCAGCTGGGAGAAGAGGCCGACGCCGCCCGCCAGTTCTCGCTCCGCCGCCGCCTGAGGAGGGAAACGCCTTTTGTTACCGGGAAAGGTACCGCAGCACCGTCCAGACGCTGGACCAGATTTATTCGAGTATCAGAGAACACATACAGATCCGATTACGTGTTAAAATAAGACAGATTTTTTAGATTTGCTTTGCTGTAATTGTTCGAATAACCATAAATTACTTTTGTGTAAAACCAAAAACATCTAATTACCACAAAACTAAATTAGGATGAAGCCGGATATGTAAACGCAGGTGTCGGTGTCGACGAGCCGATGAAGCAGGAATTACAGGTTTTGCTGCACAGCAGGTTTGTGTGTTTGTGTGTGTTGTTTTACCTCCATTTCAGTCGCTGACCGCTTGACTTCTTCTATCTTGCCGGTTCTCCATCTGATCATCTCCTGCACCTCCTGCTCCGACACGCTCAGCTTCTCCTGGATGCACACAAACACAAAAAACGCACACACGGGCTCAGGTGCCGAAGGGCAAGGTCGGGCCGTAACAACAGAAAATAACCACAAAGAACCCTAAAAAAGTGATGAAAACACTGAAGCCTTGAACAGACTGTCGACTGGCTGTTGATCATGTTTTTAGAGCAAAACCCCAAAATAGAGATTTATTTTTTCCCCACCTTGGTTTCCATCCACTCGTCTTTGAGAGGCACGGTGTCGTGATCCTCGTGGTCCAGGGTCTCACATTCAGGGCAGACACATAATCGATCCGTCCGACAGTAGATCTGGAATCAGGGGGGGGGGGGGGGGGGGTGGGGGCAGCATCAAGCCCCGAATGTCTCACGGAAGCATCTTTCCCACCACGCAGATGAAGGTACCGTACCATTATTCCTCTGTGGTGGATCTCACAGACGGGGAGCCTCGAGGCGGATGCCGCCCCGGACACGGTGAACCTCCTCCGGCCTCCGGTTTGGCAGTGAGGGGGCGAGGGGGGAAGTGCGGAGGGGCCGGACCCGGCAGCCACCGAGCCCTGGTCTGGTACCGAAGACGCCAGCGAGGTAGTGGCCGTCACCGTCGGCATGGGCTCACCTTCCCGAGACAGAAGACGCACACATTTGACTTAATATTCGACCCACAAAACTGCGACTGCGGGACGGACGGACTGAGGTTTGATGTGTCAGAGCTCAGATAATCATGGAGTTAGTGTTGACCCCGTCTTACGTGGAGTCCCACAGGGTATTGGCGCCGACGGTTGGTGAACCGCCCGAGGCAATTTCTTTCTCAACTCATCAAGGAAATTAGCTCGTGTGCCTCCTTCTTTTCCTCCTCCTCCTCTTTTGGCCCCTCTCTTCTTGACGGCCCCTCCCGACATGAACTTGAACTGATCGGTAATCTCTCGCAGCGTCCTGTTGATCTGGAGATCTGGTCGCTTGTGGTAGGTCGTCTTACAGAGAGGACACTGGCAAACCTGTGGAGAGGTTGGATGGATGAGCCAAAGACAATAATAAAGTTGAAAGAAAGATGGGCAGACACCATGGTATGTCTGAGCTATGCCTAAAGGTATTCCTAAAGGTAGGATGGTTTAAACTACTTGGTTTTGTTGCAACGTACACCTTGCATTCTGCAGCCCGTTACTATCGTTTTGTCGAGTACCTCGAAGCTCTTTTGACCAAAGCACACTCACGGACCTTGGAGCCGTCCCAGTACCGGCTGATGCAGGCCATGCAGAAGCTGTGTCCGCACGGCGTGGACGAAGGGTTGGTGAACACATCGAGGCAGATGGAGCACAGGAACTGCTCGTCGGACAGAAAGCTTGCGTCTAAGGACATCCTGTGGGCAGCGAGAGAACAGACGAATGGATACGGGCCGGTCGCAAGTGAGGATGGGTGAACAGAAACGTTACACCAATCGCTCCTAAATCAGAAGAGGAGGATCCAAAATATAAAGCAAGCATTATGTTTTAAGTACAATCACATGAAGCAACACATTTTGAATACCTTAATGGTAAAAGCCGACAAAAGGAACGCTGGGTTATTATATCTACCCAGACCCTGGTTTGTATCATTTCGTTTGATTATTTCTGCGGCCATCGGTGGTTTATCTACGGCCCAAATGGTCAGTTGTCGTGGCGCAGGGGTAGGGAGGGCGCGCTGGGAACCACAAGGTTGGTGGCTCGGGTCCTGGCTGGCCCATGTCAAAGTGTCCCTGAGCAAGACACCTAACCCCGATTTGCTCCCCGGGCAAAATGTAAAAGCCATGGGTTGAAAATGTAATGTAAGTCGCTTTGGATAAAAAAGCGTCAGCTAAATGACCTGTAATGGTAGCAACCAAACTGACTTCACAGAGATTCTGATAGTATCAGAAAGTCCAAAGAGCCCAATAAAGGACAACCCTGACCACGGTCTCTACCCCTGGTAAAGAAATACTTTTCATGAGCTACATGCATTAAACAGTGAAATGTAAGTATAAAGGCTGATACCTGTTGGTTGGTTGGTTTTTAGAATATATCCAAAAGGCTCCAGAAATGCCCAAACTCTGTGCTCTTCCTGCCGGCTGTTTCCTCACACTCTCACTTGTGAAGTGTGTATCCTCAGACTGTGACCAGCAAAACGTTGTGTATTTGTGTGAAAAGTCACTCCACGCCCACCGACCTATCTGTCCTATCCATGTTCGGCAGGTAAATGTGGCTGGACTGGTTTTTTTTACGGTCCACAACCTAATAGCCTGTGCCCGTATATACAACCACGAACAATGTCCCCTTGTCTGCTCCACCCTGCGTTCTCTGTAATTACTGCGACAATAACTTCCCTCTTGTTCAAACACTATGTACTATGTGGTGATGCCGCCGAGGAATGAAGCGAGCTCCTCGTACCCTGCGTGTACTTCTGAGAAGCTGTTCCTAAATGCCCTTTTTCACAGCAGCCTTTACAGGGACTTTGCATTCCTTGTGCTAATGATGCGCTCTCTCGCGACGGAGATAAGCCGACTCCCAGACAGCACGTAGCCAAAGCTGTTTTTTTAAGACATTGTACTTGATTTGATTGGGACATGTGATAGTGATGACATTGTTTTTCATCTCAAATGTTAATAATCTGCAATGTAATTAAAATCGTAATTAAAAAAGTAAATACTACAATATGTCGCTTGGAAACATGGCACAACATATTAGCATGTTAAGTATTTACCTGATAAATGTAGATGTAATGTGAATGAAGAACCAGGTAAATTTTTTACGCCTCTGCGTTGTTTCATAGAGAGATTCGTGCCCCACAGTAAAGTAAATTTAGCTTTTTAACAGCAACTGCGTGGAGCTAAAATACGGTTGGAACTTTCCAGGTTTGGTCCAGTCTCAACGCTTTATTTGCCCTCCATAGAACCAAGAATTACTAGAAAAGCCTTAAACAAAAGCGACGCAGCGGAAATGTTACCTTCCCAGAATCCTAAACGCGTGATAACCCACCTAAACTAAATACTTAGATGTAATAAATCAAATCTGACAACGCGGCACACAAGTTGCAACATATGAAGTCAAGATAAGTGCACACTCAGAGATGCTTTTTAGATTAGCCAACTATTCCTGGTAGTGTGAGTGTGTTGGTTTGTCCAAGTGTGTCGGTAATAAGAATGCAAACAAGAGACGGTTGAGGTGGACACATTTTTACTGAGTACGCGGTACAATAATGATCTCATTTCACATGAAACAAGCATATCTGCTCATCTTGAACACGTATACATTTTCTCATCAATTGACATTAAATCAAAAGAAATGTAATAAAGATTTGTTCCTTGTGAGAGAAATGTATTTCCTTTCCGGAACACGGCGCGTCTTCTTTGTTCTCCGATTGGAGGTTTGATTGTGCAGTTTTTGAGTCAGTCTCTATGAGTAAAAGTTTACCACATGTTGACCTTTGACCCTTATACATCTCTGACGAACTCCGACAGCCGGGAGCCAACGTGGCTCGACACGAAGCGTATCCTCTAGACGCGAGGATGTTTTGTTCTCCGCGAGGACCTTCTCCTTCCTGCTGGTCTTCTTCTGGAGCTCATGTGCTGTTGTTGTTCTTGTTGTTGTTGTTGTAGTACTCCTTGTCACTGCTGGCTCTCTTCATCTGATACATGACCCTCGCTGCTTCATCAGAGAGAGTCTGCAGGGGCGATATGGGCAGTTTCGGTATGGATGGACTAATCGATTTTTACTGATTATATCCAATAACTGATGATTTTAGTTCAGGCAACAATAAACCTCCAATTATCCAATATGAATTAATTGGCTCTACTGACACATTAATTAAGATCACCTGGGATTCTGTGGTGATGTCATCCCAGATTGTCGTCATGGTGTCCATCCAGTTCCCATAGATGTTCTCTTCCTCTTTAATGGGCCTCTGTTTACTGTGGTACACACACACACACACACACACACACACACACACACCTTAACGATCAGACTTGCTGGCCGAGCCTCAAACCGTAATCTCACTTAAACCTGAACGGGACCCCCCCCCCCCGTCCGGGGCTGCGGCCTGGTACCTGATCTGTTGGTGCAGGTCTGCTGGGCCTTTAGGTGCCTCTGCGCCTCCTGCACTCCGCCCCCCCTGGTTAAACTGGCACAGAGCTGAGCGCAGTGAACGCCGAGCACCGCCACGTTGAGGCTACCGGCCGGGATCGAACTTCAGAGGCGCGAGAAGAACGCCATCAACAAACACGTCCACGCTCGTTTGCTTTGCACACTTGACTACGTGCAGTAAAGTAAATACAAGTGTTCACCTGCAGGTGGCGACCGGTCGGCGCTCAGTGAGCACGCGAGTGACTTTCTCTCGGTCTCTGGTCGTGAAGAGCAGCTGGAGTTGGAACGGAAGTGTTTCCCTCTGAAGGAAAACTGTGACAGACGTCGTCGTGAGTCCCCACTTAAAAAAAAAAAAAGCGGTGGCGTTGAATACGTTTGACTCACCTTCCCTGAACTCTGGCTTTACAGCGAACTGGATGGTGACCTCCAGCCCCCGGGTCACGTTCCCTATCGCCTTCACCAGTTTGTGATTGCTGTCATCCTTGTAGGGAAAATATCTGCAGAGAGAATGAAGGAAAGAAAATCCAGGGACACGTGTAAGTAGGACAGATATGAATAGCGCATTGAATGTGAACCGTTTTACATCAATATTGCGCCTTGAAAAGAAATAAATGTACACAGCAACATTTTGAAACCCATCAATATTAATTTATAGTTGATTTTAGCTGGCAACCAGAGAAAAAATAACAACTTGATATAAAGAACACATTGATAGCAGGTATATGGACGATAGAGGTGTCTATTTTTTCAATGTATGCATAATGTCGTTAACCACCACTCACACTCCATCAGGAGCAAACATGGTTGCCGTGACTCCTGTTGCAAGAATGTTGTCCACGCAGGCCGACCGGATCTCCGTGGCGACCGTACCGATGCTGACGATGTTCACCTGTGCAGCAGCGCCAACAGGTTCATGACAATAGCAATATTTCTTTCTAGGCTCGATTGGCCGGCGCGCAAACTGTGGAATGAATTCACGCCTCACCTTTCCTCCAGTGGCGTCCGAGAGCCTCCCGACGTCCGCCAGGCGACAGTCCGTCCCTTCAAAGGTCATGACCGAGATGATGACGCTGGGAGAAGATAAAAGCGCATTTCATCGCCCTGATCACTTTCACTTAATGTAGTCGCGCGGCGACGCGGGCTCACCCGCTCCCCACCGCCTGGAGACCCAGTCGCGTGTAGAAATACGAAGCCGTCGGAGAGGATGAGGGGGAGGGGCTCGGCTCCATCTCGCCCAGCCCGATGTTGGCCTTGCCGTCGGTGCACAGAATCACCTGCGCATCGCCGAGATCGGAGACTCCGTTACCCACAAGCCCCACACATCACAGCAGGGAGAAACACCGCGGGAGTTGCACCAAACCCACTTGAATTCCTTCACACCCACCTTTGAGCCGGGGTACCTGGACGCCATGGCGACCGAGACTAACGCCGCAGGCCCGAGAGACGTGGCGCCGTGTTCCCTGAGGCTGGATACACAGAAGTACTCGGAACTAGGATCTGGGCTGTGTACCAGCGAGGAGTATTCTCATGCAAAGGGTGTTCAATCCAGCGCTCACTTACTCTTTGACCCTCTGTGCCAGTTGTTGGTACGTCTCCGCGATACAGTGCGGGATGCTGTAGGCCACGCCCTGTTGCCATATATGGTCGTAGTCCACCAGCGCCCAGTCGCGGAGACTCAGAGGAGCACCGGTGCCGTCACCGTATATCACCACCTGTGTTTATGCATGACGGAATTTATATTAGACTTAGACTAGACAAAAGAAATAAGAGAATGAAAAAAATAAGAACGCGATAGCAAATGTTGAATTAACCTTTTTTTTTTTTAGCCCGGTTGTGTCTTGATAAATAACCCTTTTTTTTTTTTTCAAATGGGCGGCGTAACGCCTTGTACCTCGTCATTGAACGTCACCAGCGCCACTCTCCTGTGGGGGGACAGCTGCAGCACGGAGGACAGCGCCCCCTGGAGGGCGTCCTGCATACCCTGTGAGACGCCCAGAAACGTCCCGTTAACAAAGTGCGTGAAGGGACACAAAGAATCAACACGTGTAAATCTCACCTCTAGTCTGGAGACGTGAACTGGAGATCCGCCGCTCGATGGAAGCTGTTGATGATTTGCGCGATGTCTTTTTACATGAATGCGTTTGGTGCTTTTGCTTCAGTAAACATGCTGCGCACACACACACACACACTCGCAGACACACACCTCTGCAGTGACACTCATGCTGCCGGAGATGTCCACACAGAACACCAGCAGCGTGTCCTCCAGGTTCTGGTAGTCGTCGTCGCTCTGGTTGGACAGGTAAAGGTCGTCGCCGAGGTCGCCGCACGCTCCCTTCGCGCCGTCGGGGACGGCGTTGTCGAATCCGCAGAACTCACACCCCCAAACCTGAGCCAGGGGAAGGAGCGGGGGGGGGGGGGTCCGAGGTGGGAATTGTATTTTTGAGACAGATGGAAAAAAGAAAATTGGAGATAAAATCGGATAAAAAAAATCGGTCCCCACTCACGCTGCTCTGTATCGAGCTCAGGTGCGACAAGGCGGCGCCACATTTCCCACAAACCACCGGGCTTTGAGAACTGCGCGGGCCCGAGGCTGGTCGGAGAGGACGAGAGTTACAGAGTTATGAAAACAGAAAGAACACCAACGCCGCAGCAGGTGCGTTCGTGCTCCGTGACCTCTGACCTCGCTCGAGGTCGACCAGTTCCCCGATGTTCGCTGAGACCACGTTGACGTTGGCTACTCCCCCCCTCCTGCGGCCTGATCGCACACGGGGGACGGGCGCGGTGAGAAGAGGGGGAAAACATATTCCAAGCGGACACTTGGGGACACGAGTCACGAGTCGGCCCGACGGGAACTCACCTCTGGGCGGGACGGGGGGAGCGACGGGTGGAGCGCCGGGAGGCCGGGAGGAGGAGACGGGAGGCCGGGAGGAGGAGACGGGAGGCCGGGAGGAGGAAACGGGAGGCCGGGAGGAGGAGACGGGAGGCCGGGAGGAGGGGACGGGGGGGAGAGAGGAGGGGACGGGAGGAGCGACGGGTGGAGCGCTAAGAGGCCGGGAGGAGGAAACGGGAGGCCGGGAGGAGGGGACGGGGGGGAGAGAGGAGGGGACGGGAGGAGCGACGGGTGGAGCGCTAGGAGGCCGGGAGGAGGGGACGGGAGGCCGGGAGGAGGGGACGGGGGGGAGAGAGGAGGGGACGGGAGGAGCGACGGGTGGAGCGCTAGGAGGCCGGGAGGAGGGGACGGGAGGCCGGGAGGAGGGGACGGGGGGGAGAGAGGAGGGGACGGGAGGAGCGACAGGTGGAGCGCTAGGAGGCCGGGAGGAGGGGACGGGAGGCCGGGAGGAGGGGGCGGGGGGGAGAGTGGGTGGAAGAGGGGGGAGAGGCAGAGACAAGGGTCGAGGTTTTCGGAGGCGACGAGGAGGCAGCGGCGGAGGAGCTGGACCTGACGAGACAAAAGAGCCGATTCCACTGATGTTAAAACTGATTCCACCCAATTGAGAATCCAGTATCTTTACACTGAGATCTGTGAGCCTCTTTCACCGCCCACACTAAATACCAGACACTAAATAAACAGCATTGTGTATGTTTCCACATTACGGTTTCTCTTTTCAATGTTTAAATCAGAGTTTTATTGGCTGACATTAGCTGCAGGTCATGTTAGCTGAGGCTTTTATTCAAAGCGACTTACATTTAAAACCCAGGGTTTATTTTTTTGATTTAGTTATTGTGTAATTAAAATGATCCGATAACCTTTTGTGTTGTGGACTTTCCCTTGTTGCCATTAACACACCTCCTACACACTGTGTCTCTGTCACTCGCGCTCATGCCCACAAACATGCACACCCACACGCACGCGCACACACACACACACACACACACACACACACACTTTCCTGTTGTTTTCTTGCTATTCTCTTGAGCAGAACGGAAAAACAACAACAGAGCGAATTACCTTCTTGTGGTTTAACGGTCACGCTGTTGTCGTACTGCTGCTCGACAAGAGGAACACCGGTGGATTCTGGGAAAATTAGTTAAATAGCAAATAATTAAATTAGGCCAAACTAAATGGAGGAAACAATCTAGTCACATAATCTTCTGCAGGAAGGCGACACCGTGGCATAAAAACCTCTGTTCGCCGTAGACAAGAATATGTGGTAAAATCTTTAAAAGTACAGAATGCGCTAAAAAAAAAGAAAAAAACGCCTCAGAGCCACGAAGGACAACTAATCGGCGCTCACCTGCTCCATCGGGGCGCCAATCGCACACCACGTGACTGCAGGCGAACTCCATCTGCGGCACAAAGAGGATGCTGACACCTGACGCGTCGGCGAGCGGGACCGCGCGCGCGGTCACCATGACAACCGCGCTGATCGGCGGGCGGCCTCAGGGTGAAACCCGGAGAGCGAAGACTTCCTGTCTGATAAACAAGGCTCCGCGCGCACACATCTGGACCCCGTCATCCGTCGAGAAAAGGGCCTCTCTCTCAACACGCGCTCACAACAAGTTCAACGCATTGGTGACGTTTTGAAAACAGCGCGAGGTGGTTGAGAGTCAAAGTGAATAAAGTAAAAAAGTAAAAGCAAGTAAAATAAACATTATGTGAGTAAGTTGCTGTTTAAATGAGGTTTTCTAGAGATCCTTTGTCACACACACACACACAGTAAATCATTAACACAAAACACACTCACAACAACCAGGACATGTTTTCTACCTGTGTGGATGTCAGCCGCGGCGTCAAAGTGACAGGAAGCATTGCCGCGCGGCCGGTTGATGACGTGGGTGTGTGGGCGGCGTCAAAGGACGTGAGCCGCTCTGTCAGGAAGGAGTCAGTGTCTCGGTGGTCCAGAGATCTAGTTCTAACCACTGACACTGTGTACTATGTACCTCCTTGTATATTATTAGTTAAAAAATGGCATTTCATTCATGTACAGCACTTCTTCTCGCATAAATCAAATGATGAATCAGAATACATTCATAATATTATCGTTATTATTACTCATGTGTCAAGTCACCAGTCTGGGTATGATTAGGAATGTTAACACCTCTGTGCATTTATTGTTTTTATTGCAAATCATTAGTAACAAGGAATGTTAAAATTCAAAATTTAACAACTCTCTCCAGCTATGCGTTCAACTAAATCATTTTTAATATCAGTACAAATGTATTCAAGTCTTGCTAAAAATTACTGACAGTAATTCTGAGCTTTATAAATCAATGTTTGTTTCATTATTTTTCACAATTCCTAGCTCTAATTCCCTAACTCTGGAGTATCGTTTCCATCACTGCTGATAGTGTTCTCAAGCACACAGTCAGTATTTACTATTTCTATGTCTGTCAAGCACCAAATTCCCCGTTTTGTATTTATTTACTTGATATACGGCGTGAAAATGGGCCTCAGAGGAGGTCCTGAACCACAGCGCTCTGCTGAGCCACAGTGCTGTGCGGTCCAACATCAGCCACGATCCGCTCTCCTACATCACCCCTCCTCCTCCCCCCTCCAGGGACTCCAGCACGGCTCTCAGGACGGACGCCACAGCCACAGCGCCGGGGTCGGGGAGGGTGACCCGCTCGGCTGCGATGTAGCTGGCTCGCCCGGCCCTCGCCGTGAGGTCGCGGGTCGACTCCGCCCCCGAGGCCGCTTTCTAGGCAGAGACGGGGAAGGTCGAGAAGGTAAGGAGGCCGCGTGAGCGGACGGTTCCGCGCGCAGAGAATCAGCGGAGCCACATCACCACCTGCCGGCTCTGTAGGGCGAAGGTGAGTTACTGCACCTGCACGGCCGCCCGTAGTACCGACATCTGTCCACCGGGTGGTGCTGTTGTCAGCTTCATCAGCTCGTCCACAGCGGGACACAAAGCATCCAACTGGACACATGGAGACAGCGAGGCTTTCTAATTAATAATAATGCTGACAAGGAGAGGACATGCAACATGTCATCAGGAGATGCTTTCCACATTGAAGAGTATCTCACCATTGTTCTGTCTCCAGGGTCTGCACCTCCATACCTGAAAGACCGTTTGGTTCATATAAATCATTCATTCATTCATTTTTTACATTCATTGAGTAATGATTATATAATTCATTGTTTGTCCCTGCAGGAGCTTTTGGTGAGATGATTCCTGAACAAATAACTTTCTAACTGTTTTCAAACTCTTATGTCACTTACGACAGAGTTTAACATTTCTTCAAGTCTAAAAACGGATTCAGTGGAATTTATGTATTAGATGAGCTCTTCTGAAACCCCCCTTGTCTCTTTTAAATTTTCATTTCTAAAATGTAAAAACAAGCCCTCTAAATGTACCAGAAAACATCACACAACACAAAAGACACAGAGCCTCGCACCTCCTCATGGCCTGTGTCCCAGCATGCATTGCACGAGCCCAGGCTGCAGCATTGCTCTGCTCCTCAGTCACATGACCCGCCGCTGCCGTCAGGAACAGGCTGTACAACTGACAGACACACAGAGATAAGTGTGTGTGTCTGTGTGTGCGCGTGTTAATCCGGTGTGAGACGTTAAGTACCGCTCCCGAAGACCCGCCCATCTTATCCTGCACCAATCCAGCGAGGACTGACAGCAGTCGTCCGGGGCAACCAGGGACCGCATGATGCTGGAGCCACTCCTGAATGGCTGAATGAGCATTTTTACAATCACTGTTCTGAATAACTGTGTTTTTTTGTTACGTACACGTGCACCAGCATGCTGTGGTGCAGCTGGTGCTATGAAAGCACCGTGTCTTACCTCGAGCCGCCTGTGCATGAGTGTCCCCACAGTCTCCGTCCCCCGCGGCGCGGTCCAGGGCGTTGAGCTCGTCCCGCTTCTCCAACAGCGTGGAACAAACCCTCTCCAGCGCTGCACGCATCACAGGACTCAGCGGCCCTGGCAGGGACAATAAGATCAAGTAAAAAACATTCCGCATACACACGTCCACACAATGGGGAACAAGATGGAAGGCACACATGTACATGCAGTTCCTCTAATGGCCACTAGATGGTATAACCCAAGAAAACACAACATTAAGTCTTGAACCACAATAATGAATAAAGTTTTGTTACGCGCATTGAGGTTTAGAGTGTAATGATCGACGTGCACTTGCCGGTAACCATGGATACCAACCGTCAGAGTGGGCGTCGTCTTGGGGCCGTCCGCTCGCCGCCGGAGGGTCGGTCACGTAGTCGCGTCCGCTTACACACACGCTGCTGAGGTTTGGCCAGGCCGGTGCGCCGGTCTTAGCATCTGTGTGGCGTACGGGACGTTAGACGTGTGTGTGTGTGTATGCGCCTCCTGTCTTTTAGAGTTCATTCTCAATTTGATTGACAGGTCGCTATACCACGGAGTTTCCAAAAAGTTGAACCACCCCTTTAAGACCAGGGGGTCCTCAAGAGTTTATTAGTAATGTCTGTGCGTGCTCACCAAACAGCCTCAGTGTCTCCTGGTCGGCCCTCATCAGGCTCAGCGACACTCCCGCCATCTCCAGCGAAGTCATGAACGACCCCGACATCACCCTGGCAACCACCACGCCGCGACCCTCTTCGAAATCACAGGGACAGCCAATCACACCCCGCGACGTATTCCATTTAAGAGAGCTCTTAGCGGGCCGTACGGTCGCCGGGATGGGAGTGGGCAGACGTTGCCATAGTTACCCAGACACATGACGGCCGCTCTGGTAACCACGGCCATCTCCAGACAGGACAGAGCGCCGAGGTTGTTCACACACACGACCACGCTGTCTCCTGTAGGAGTGAAGAAGAGTGTTCAGAAAATGTCTGGCACCAGTAAGAGACGCAAAACATCACACCCGGAGGACCTGGTTTAAGGGGCAGATGTGAGTGGCTGACGGGGTTGGTCATGTGATCAATCATGGTCTTCACCACCTCATCTGCGGACGCCACCTGATTAACAGGATGGAAAGAAAACCTCCAAGTCACGGTGAATGCGTTTTAAAAGGTAAACGTCCCGGGAAGAAAACAGCCGATTGAGGCCTTGTCACCTTTGACCTTTTGATCCCAGGCTCCCCGTGGATTCCTGAGGATGACAAGAGACGTTCAGAAATGACAGTTTACGACTCAAAGAGATGCTGTGATCAGACGATGTCAGGTCTCACTATCAGTTAAAATATGTGCATCTTGTTTAGTAGCGATCTCTCCGGGTCTGTCCCCCGCTCTCTTTCCCTCATATGTACTTCATCTCCTCCTCCTCCTCCTCCTCTCCGTCGGCCCTCACCCAGGCCCAGCTCCATGACTCCTGGCGGCAGCTCGAAAGAAGGCAGCGAGCCCGGCACGCTGCACGGCGACAGGCTCACCCCGAGCGTCCCTGCGAGGCACAGCGCGTCAGTAAAAGAGTCGCCGCGTGCTCACCGAGCAGCAGCAGCAGCAAGAAGGCGGGACGAGAGACTCACCCACGCCCTGCAGCACCTCCGTCACCTTGGAGACGATGCGGCCCAACGAGGAGCCTTCTTCCGCCAAGGCGCCCGCCAGCTGACAGGAAGTGCCAACAGACTTTTAATGGGGGGGGGGTGGGTGGTGTTGATGCTTGATCGCTCCGCCTCCCGCGCACTCAATAATATCCCAAATTCAGGGAATTCTAAAGCGCCTCTAAAATAAAAAAACAAACAAAAGAGGTCGCTTCAAGTGGCCGTGCTTTACCTTGTGTATGAAGATGGTGCCGCACAAGCCTCTCCTCCCCGCCTTGCTGGGTCGGTCGAAGGCGCAGTCCTCGGCAACGATCACCACGTCGACGGCGACGCCGCGGTTGCGGGCCTGCTCGGCGGCCAGGCCGAAGTTGAGGCGGTCGCCGGTGTAGTTCTTGACAATGAGAAGGACCCCGGAGGCTCCTGCGAAGGGGAGGGGAGGGCAGCTGCTTCACCTCGCGTGGATCTCACTCGAGCCAATCAGTCTCTAAAAGTTACACCCACTCGCTTATTTCAACACAAGCGGGAACCACCGACGAAGATAAACCTCCCGGTGTGCATTACCTGCAGCGTGCAGGCTGAGGATGGCGGCCAGGATGCTGGCAGGAGGTGGAGAAGCAAATACTCCACCTGCAACAGCGGCCGATAGCATACCTGCACCGAGATAACCTGCAGACACGCACGGACGAATGTCAGACCAGTTCTGCCCCCGCGACGGGAATCGTTCACGTGAGCAATCAGAGGAGAGCGAGCTTCAAAGTAATGACAGACTTAACGTGAACCTTCAGGGTTTATCTCAAAGGGACTCAGGATGAGGCTGTTTCCTGCCAAAATAAAAGCCCAGCGAGAAACAGGCCACATGCATCCCGTTCAAATAAAACAAAAGTCCTACCCCCGTGTGCCGGCTCGTGTCCCGACCCCCCGCCGGACAGCAGGGCCACTCTGCCCCTCAGGTTGTCCAGGTCGGACCGAAGCACAACTCTGTGGCCCTTCAGCAGAGACAGGCCCCCGCTGGCCCTCACAAGGCCCCAGAGGGCCTCGTCCACACAGCCGTCCACCGAGTTTATCAGCTTCCTTTTGGGCTTAGAGAGTAAAGAAAAGCGTAAACTGTAAAGTTGACCGTGTAGGTGTACTTTGAGTCACTGAAATATGCTGTACTAATTAATAGAGGGGCTAAAATATTGCATACATTAAAATCGGTGTCTAACCGTGCTTTTTGTGCTCTCTTTCGCTTTACCTTTTTTATTTTTAAATAATGTGATTGTGATTGATCCTAGGTTTTTGTATATTAATTCCTTATCCCTGAATACAAACCACTAAAAGTACATTAACTAATATGTGTTTTGATAGTTAAAACAGGTCAAAAGTAGATGGTTAAGTTAATTCTTTTTTCGTCCCGCCTTTGTCCTCAATCCACACATACAAACACATTCAAATCGTAGTTTTCAGAAGCTGCCGTAGAAAGTAAAACATGTCGAAACGACAGCTTGTTTTTCCCTTCAGTTCTGACTGCGTGGACTCTGATCCTCTGGAGCACCGGAATGATAAAAAAGTGGTCGCAAAGCAATGCGACCACGGTGAGAGAAAAGCCTCCGGAGGTTCTTCATGTCAGCTCGTATTCACGGCGGGGGAGAGAGAATCTGTGCATCTTCTGCACGTACAGTATGTTCCACATGAGCTCCCATGCGCTGTGCGTGTTTACCTCCATTTGGACGTTTTCTCGCTTCTTCTCGCTTCCGGGCAGCAGGTAAAACTGTCAGAGACGGACAACGGAAGTAATGTGACTTTTGCTCACAAAGTAAAAGCGCGTAAAAGATCTAATAACAAGACAATAAGAACAAAACTCGACAATACAATAGAAGTTAGTAGTCTTCAGGAAATTTCCTTCGATTCGCTTTTAGAAATAAAATAATAACAATGCTAAAGTGTGTTTTAATTAGCTGAACTCGTTGTATTTCGCTTACCCAGACACGCTTTATAATCGAAATTCAAAATGTTAATTTTCCCTTCAAACCAAATAAAGTTTTTTAACCTACAAACATGTTGCATTTTTTTGCGAATTCACAAATATTAAAGCAGGAACTATAAGTGTGAGTACACAAAATAAGAGATGTTGAACAGAAAGTGGAAATAAGTATTTGCATAATACAGCTTTGAAACAAAACATTTTACTGATCCATTTATTCTCTTACAGTTGTGACCCATACAATATTTAAATACTGGACTTTGCACATTGCACAGGTGGTCACGACTCAGACAAAACCCCGCTCGCCCGGGCCGCCCCGTCAAAAACATCCAACCAACCCTCCGGTCCCCCCGCCTGCGTGACGCGCGCGAGCCTTCAGTCCGCTTCGGCACGCGCTCAGCTCGGATCCGTCCAGAGCAACATGCAGGATGGCGAGTGTGGAGACAGCCGCCGAACACGAACGCATCCTGCGGGAGATCGAGAGCACCGACACCAACTGCATCGGACCGACCCTCCGGTCAGTGACCCCCCCCCCCGCCGAGAGCAGCTGAACCCCGGTGTCGCTCAGCTGGGAGGAGGGGAGGGGGGGGGCGGCTAGCCGCGATTAGCACCAAGTTAGCAACTCCAGCGAGACTCCGGGCGCTTGCTCCAAAACTTTAACGACCATGTTTCCATTATCGGACGGCTAGCAGGCTAACTTTGGCAAAACAAAAGCGCTAGCTAATTTACATAATCCACACTGGTGTGTAAAGTTACGCAGCGAGTCATAACTGTCTAAGACTCATGACCCGATGCGGTCGTTTTTCATGTTTTTCTCCAAAAGTGTGTAAATATCGCCACAAGCGTTTGAGAAACTCAAGCTAGCACAAGCTAGCTCGGCTAACTAATTGACATTCTGCTCACTGGTGCCGGAGCTTACAACGAGACTCGAGGTTGTCTCTGCTAGCTGAGGGCTCTGTTTGTCTAAAAATGGCTGTCTTGTTTCTCTCTCCCTCTCTCCCCCCGAGGGTCGGTCAACTTATCCGCAGGGGAACTTAGTCGGCTAACGTTAATTATCGCAAGTTGGCCTGCTAAGTGGTTAGCAACAGCATATTCGAAGGAGTGTCAAGTGCAGAAGCGCTGTGACGTTTTCCATCTGTTATCAATGCGTATGAGTGTTGCTCAATAATTTAGTGGAAACTGCACTTAAAAGACTGAATGGCTTCTCTGTTGTTGACTTGTTGGGGTTTGTGTCGGGGTGCATGGTTTCACATCCCATTAGTCTGAGAGGATGAGGCATTGCTTCATCTGTGCTTGGACCTGGAATGAGTAACAGCCCTGTTTCCATGTGTGACACACACACACACACACACACACACACTAATAAAGAGGATGCATACAGCAAGTGGTTTTCACGTATCACTTAAAAATATCCCCACATGAATCATTTAAGTATGAATTGTGACCTCTCGAAGTAAACCGTGTGTGTGTGCGCGCCTCCCTTTGACTCTGAACAGTAACACTGATTTAAACTTGATATTTAGGCTGATTACAAGTTTGACTTTATTAGCCACATGCGTGGTTGACACATTCAATGATTCAATGAACCATGTAGGGCAAGAGAACGGTTGGTAAATAGCACTGGTCATATAAATATCAGATGACAATAAGATAAAACTAAAGAACAAGGATGTGATGTGTTACTGAACGTTTCATGCATCTGTCATCTGTTGTTCTGCCTGGCGGGAGGTCCGGCGTGCCCGCCCCAGACGCATTTGTCACACGCCTGGACAGCTCGGTGCGACACCTCCGGCCCGCCACGTTGTCCTCTCGAGTGCGTCCGCGTGACGCTCGGTCAGACGGCGAGGATGTGATGTCACCGCTTCGTCCCGTGTCTGGTCAGGTCGAGGATCCGCGTTCCGCACCGTCACACGCTTAATAAATAAAGAGCAGCCTGTTTGGGGCCGTGTTATTTTCGGCCCAGGGGAAGTGCAGGAGCGATCAACGTATCAGGTGATGACGGATGCAACTGCTTCCTCTCTGGTGTCGTTTTTCCGGTTTGCAGGGATCGTTTTTGTTGAAGCGGCAGCAGATCGTTTTTCACTGTCTGATTGAGTTATAGTTTGAGAGATATTTGACCTTTTTTAGAACCGACATGTTATAGTTCATTGACTGAAAGACAATTGGTAACATTTTCATGGTGCTGAATTATCCGACTCCAGACCCTTTGAATGGAGCTATTGTACTTTGGTTAAGTTTCCTACGTGACGTCGCCGTCTGAGGCCACTGCCTTTTCCCACCACGATGCTCTCACACCGGCATCGGGTGTGACGAATATTTCTTTTTTCCACAGCTCGAGGTCCGGAAAAATATTAATTTCATTGTCCAATTATGAGTAGTAAAACAAACTGGTGGGCAGTTGTATGTAGTTATTATTGCTGTTAATCTTTTGATCCATTTTTAAAATACAAAAAACATCTCCGTTCAAAATAAGCCATTTGCTTAAAAAAACTAAAATTATTCTATTTCTTATTACAAGACATTTTTCAGTTTATATCCACATATAGCAGAGAAAATGTACAAACCGCAGTGATCTGCAGTTTTTTAAATGTATTTCTTCGTCAGTAACTGTGTGAGAGTTAGAGCGCCCCACCCTGGTGTTTAACAGCCTGCCGCTGGTTAGTCTCTTCACATATAGCCATTAATGACGGGGGCCTTTATGTGTGTGGTTTCCCTTTTCTATAGCCGCTGGGGGGAGGGAGGGGGGGTTGTTTCTGATTGGTCGGCAGCTTCTCGGCCGTGCAAGTTGTGCCGAACGGTTGAACCACAGTTTAAAGCGGTTGGCAAAGGCGGCATAATGCGCGGCAGGTAACCATGGCGACGATACCGATGCGCGCATGCCAACGTGAATCGTGGTATTCTTTCCTTCGAGTGGTTTCCCTCCCGATATGGATATAATTTAGCAGCTGTGAACAGAAACCGCCTGAAGTCAGTGGAGGCTTTTTTATCCATCGTGGTTATTTGCACAAAAACTGAGCGATAATTCAGCTTCAACAAACCTACTGCTGAATTTCAGCAGAATCGTGTGCAAATGTAAACATTGATTCAGCGAAGGCTTTTGTTAAGGGTTTATAGTGCGTGCAGATGTTCTAAAGGTTTCTGAAGCATTAGGGTTTTCATTTGAGCTGCAGAGCTCTGAGGGAATAATCTCACGCCTCAGACATTCAGCGTGTCCGAAGGGAGCGACTCGCCACCAGCTTGTTAAGACTCACACACACACCCTGCTGAGTCATCAGTCTGTAGTCGGGGAGGACACACCAACACACACACACAGACATATTCTTGCATGCACACTCACTTTTAAGTGGGTTAAGCTCCTATTTAGCCAGTTGTTGTGCTCACACACACACACACACACCACAAAGTCTTAACCTCCTCTAAGCGAGCCTGAAAAAGTCAACTCACTTTCTCGTCATCAAAGTTGTACTTAACTCTTCTTTAGACGTTCGCCATCTAACTTTTAATCACGGAAAAGGCACATGATTAGTTTGTAAAAATGCCGAATGGACGGGATGTTTCTCTCGAGGTGAAAGTAGCCCGTAGTTTACTCGTTTTAAGTCATTTTTCAAGTATGTGTAAGACTTTACATCCCTGTTCCTGTTGGAGGTTAATGGAATTCGCACAGGAGTCACCAGGAAGTCTGTCAGCTGTAACACTAAAAAGCTAAAATAACATCATGCGCATATCGAGAACGACCTGCTCCCCCTGCTCATTTATTCATTTATAGGATTCTAACTGAGTGAATGAGGGTGAATTTATTGTTTGTTATGTTTGTCGAGGGCAGTGACAACACGCACGCACGCACCGTGTAGCTCCTCCCGCTGCTTTTACATTTATGGAAGCCTTCTTCCTTAATTCCATGAATGTCTCACACACACACACACACACTCTGTGTGTCTAAAGAAAGCTCCCGGTGGCGTCAGACCTACTCGCCATTGTAAGTCGGGCATTTCCTGGTCAACAGGAGGAAGGGGGGGGGTTCAACACATACACAGGTGTGTGTGAGTGTGTGTGTGTGGAAGGGAAAGCACACAGGAAGAGCTGTGATTGTTATTACAGAGAAGAAAGATACTAAAAACAGGCTGAATGAGAATGTAAATTTATAAGCGTTTTGAATCTATTAAAAGTCTTTGCTCTCAACATTTTTTATATTGATTTAGTCTGAATGCCCTGTAAATAAGCTAAAAGGAGAAGTACTTGACGTTCATCACTTTCTTTATTCTTCTTATAAAGTGTGTGTGTGTGTGTGTGTGTGTGTGTGTGTGTGTTATGCTCATGATTAAAACAGCCGGTGGTCGGTGGCAGAGAATGTGGGAACGCGGAGGAGCAGTAGCAGCGATGCGTCAGCGCCCCCTGAAGGAAACGTTCCTTCCTCTTGTCTTTTTTTAGTACCGTCTCATTATTGCGATGAGGCACCTTGAAACACACAGAAATATGAGGACACACGTCTTGTTAATGTTTCACTTGATGCCACAAACAAGTGGAGTAAATATGTGTTCAAGCTTATTTTGCAGACAGTTTTGCCTTTGACCCCTAAAGTTTTTTTTAAATACGGAGTTTAATGAAGCAAGCTTTTTGGAAATATCTTGTCCCTTCTTACCCGTTGTCTTCTCCTCCCTCCCTCCCTCCCTTTTTGTTTTTTCCGCCCAGGTCGGTGTATGACGGCCAGGAGCATGGCCTCTTCATGGAGAAGCTGGACGTGCGGATCAGGAACCACGACCGCGAGATCGAGAAGATGTGCAACCACCACTTCCAGGGGTTCGTCGACTCCATCACGGAGCTGCTCAAAGTCAGAGGGGAGGCACAGAAGCTGAAGGTGAGGGGGGGACGGGTGGAGGTTGTGGATCAGAACAGCTGGATGTGGAGCTGGAGGAGAGCCCTTCTCTCATTGGTTCTTCTTCTCCCTCAGAGTCAGGTGACCGAGACCAACGGGCGTCTTCAGGATGACGGCAAAGAGGTGAGACGAGAAATGTCGCGGACGTCCTAACCGTCCCCTTTTCAGGACTTGTCTCTGAAGTAACGCTCCATCCTTCCCCCCCCTCTTCTTCTCAGCTCATGGGCTCCATGGAGGAGCTGCAGAAGTGCCGCGTGCAACAGAGGAACATCGCCTCCACCATAGACAAGCTGTCGCACTGCTTGCCAGGTAACGCCGGCTAGATGTGAGATGCACAGGTTTCCCCCTAAAGCAGCACTGGCGGGATCAGAATAACCCTCTTTGGTGTCCCCTCCCCCCAGTCCTGGAGATGTACAGCAGACTTCAGGAGCAGATGAGGGCCAAAAGGTCAGTTACCAATTCTGGGTTACATTATTAAATGCTGTATGAAGGTTATTTTGCAGATACAGTTCCAAAAGAATAAATTGGAGATGTGTCGGGTTAGCAGTCATTAATGGAGGAGTAGAGGAGGAGGAGGTGCAGGAGGTGGAGGAATGGGGGCAGGAAGGAGGGGGGCATTGGGATCTCGTTGAGGGGGTTGAATGGTGGTCCTGAAGGAAGGAAAGTGGTGCACTTTGCCGATTTGGACCACTGTTTCCAACCACTAGGTGGAGCCAGATATATATACTGTATATACACACACACATAACGTCTATGTGTGTGTGTGTGTGTGTGTTAGGTACTACCCGGCGCTGCGGACCTTGGAGCTGCTGGAGCACACGTGTCTCCCCCGGGCGGGTCAGTACCGGTTCTGCTCCATCATGGCGGAAAACATCCCCATGCTGAGGACCCAGATCCGGGACACGGCGATGACGCAGCTGAGAGACTTCCTGGAGAGCATCCGGAAACACTCGGACAAGATCGGAGAGACGGCCATCCGACAGGTACACGTGGAAGCAGAATGTCTATGGAAGATCTAAAGAACAAAATACACATTGATGCAGAACACTTCCCTCAGAAGACCAAGTGGAAGCTCTAACGATACCTTATAAAGATCCCTTTATTTGGCAAAAATAAGCAGTTTTGACTAGTTGCGTCCTGTAAATAAGAAAGAGATTCATTACACTTATTGTCAACACTTGGAAACGCGTGTGTGTAACTTTGTGGTTCCACTGCCAGTAAACATGGAGGCGCTGCAGGAGACGCCATGGCTCGCCAATGCACACACACACACACACACACACACACACACACACACACACACACACACTCGCGTCTGCTTTTCAGCACTCGCCTAATTGTTTTTCTGTTTTCCCGAGGCCGAGGAAGTAGTCGTCAGACCCCCGTTGTGTGTTTTGCGTCCTCTCGCGGTGTCCGATAGCTCAAAGCGGGGCCTCGCTTGGTTTATTCGTGCTGCCTCGTGGGACTCCGGGCGTTAAGTGGCGCTCGACGACGGACGGATGGGACGCGTGTCGGCTTCCACCGACCTTTCCGTGCACTTTGTCCCGCTCGGACCTCCTCGCCTGGAGGTTTGACCCCTTCTCCTCCTGTCCTCACGTCCATGCGTCCTCCTCATGCAGTGAGCAGCATTAGATGTTGTCAGCTGACACGGTTTGACCCACTTGAAAAAGTACAATTACAGTACCAGGGGGAAGGTTGTTATTTAGTCCTCTAGGTGTCACTAGAGGACCACTTCTCAATCTAAAACGCGATTGCAGGTCTTCACCCATCCACTGCTTCTCCTCGGGGCCCTAATGGGATGTTCTGGAGGCGCCTCACAAAGGCCCTCTAGGTTTTCTGTGTCTGTTAAAACCTTTCATTTGAACTCCCATCAAGGAGTTCACGGGATTTAAATGAATACCCCCCCGTGATGATGTGCTTTCAGTAGTTTCACTCGGCGCTCTGGAGCCTTCGGGGGGGGGGGGGGGGGTGTTCCTGCGGCCGCACTTTGGGAATCACAGGCGGTTAAAAATCCACTTGCAGTCGCCGAGCTCACCGCTAACTCCTCTAACCACTAATTACAAGGGAGATTATGGAAGCCCCCGGCGGGCCGGCGGGCCCCCGACACTGATACCGGGATCATGTCGTGGTATCGAATGTTTGGCCCGGAGCGCTCACACTCAATCAGAACTAAGTGTGTTTATGTGTGTGTGGAGGAACCAATTAGACTTTGTCCTCCTTTCCCCGGTCCCTTCTTCTTTCTCTCTGTCTCGCTCAGACTGAGTGTCTCTCTCTCTGCTGCGCTCTGTTACAAATTATCCAAACTCTCTGTGCCCGGCCGCCGTTACAGGGATGTGAAAATAAATAGATCTGGGGAAGGAGGGAGGAGACGGAGGAGAGCACAGGGCTTACAATGGAGCTATTGTCTGCTGCCACATGCCCATAGAAGAGGAGGAAGGGGGAGGAGGGGGGAGATGTGTGGAGGAGGAGAAATCCAAGAGCGGGGAGAATAGAGGGATGAGATGGAGACAACGAAAAAAGATGGAATCCGAGAAAGGAATATGTGGAGAGAGGGAGGAGGAAACAAGGATGCAGGAGGAGGGAAAGCGGGAAGAAGAGGATGGTTAGAGGAATGGTGGATTGGGGGAGGCGAGGGAGACGAGAAGAGGAGCAGGGCGAATGAGCAGTTTGTCCTTGTTTATTGAAATTCAAGCACCTAAAACAAAGTGAGTGTGTACGATGTGAAGAGTCGCCGCTTTACCCTCATCTGCTTCCATCAATCGTTTATTCTGGTTTATATTGACCAAAGTTCCACAATAAGACAAACTTATTCATCCCCCCCCCCCCGTGTAATGAGAGGTAGCATTACTGTTTTCCATCTACTCCTCTTTCTCCTCTTCTTTTTTCACTTTCAGCAAAACACGAGTTAAGAGCTTCTGCTGTGCATTCGGTAGACACACACACACACACACACACACACACACACACTAATGGGGAACAGACTGCTGGTCCTGTGAAGTGGAAGAAGATTGATTACTTGTATCTAGTTACTGAACGCGTGTGCGTGCAGCGAGGGTGTTTGGAGGGCACGCGCCGGACCGGCGTCTCGTGCGTGTGTGTGGGCGCGTGGGCGCGTGTGGCGTCCGCCCAATAGCGCTCCACGGTTCCCCGCCGTCGCTCATCACTATTTCTGTTTGGGACTCAGCCTGCCAGAATAAGTGATCTGTGGCCTCCGTCTTCCAGTCAGCATTCATTTAACGCGCACAAATAAACGTTATTACCGAGGGTAAATATTCTTTCTCACGTGACCAAATTGTCGCCGCTCGCTGGGTTCAAACGTCCACGACCCTTCAAACGCATCAGGGTTTGATAGGAACGGAGAGGGAAAGTCCGCTCGCTGCGTCCTCCTCACTCGCACACATCGGAGGCTTTCAGCTCAAAGTCCGGTCCTCGTCCCCCTCACGGCTCCTCCACTTCACCTCCACTTCACCTCCACTTCACCTCCACTTCACCTCCACTTCACCACCTTTGCCCCCCACTTGCTCTCCCCTCCATGCCCTCTTTTCCGTACTGTAGTGGGGGGGCCGTGCGCAAGAGATGACGCACGTTCCTGCCCTCACTCGAGCTTTGGAGTGTCGAGCAGAGTGAAGAGAGAAGCGACAAAAGCCGAGTTGAGGAGAGGGTGTTCTGTCCCTGTAACCCGCCGAGTTCCCCGGGGACCCGCGTCCACCTGTTGGCGAATGCTAAAGAGCCCAAAATCAGCCTCTGAGTGGACGTCTCTGACGCAGGTGCTGACGTCCGTGTCATTGTCTGTCTGTCTGTCTGTCTCTGTGTGTGTGTGTGTGTGTGTGTGTGTGTGTGGGCGACGACCTTTTGAGGAGAAACCCAAAACAAGGCTCTCCACTTTGTTTTTGAGGTCTGTGGCTTTTCTCTTTTCTTTGGCCTCTTACGAGACTTCTAGTGGGTTTTGGTCACATTTGGCACGTTAACGTTGCCTCCCGTCCCCCCGTCCCCCCCTTTCCACCGGCTCTGTTTGTGCTGGTCGTCCGATGTGAGTCACCGGCCCCGTAATGCGTGCGGGCGTCAGATCAAAGATGGCATTGTGTTGTGATGCTGTGTGTCCGGTGCGTAGCCGCCCTCCCACCAACACCCGCTTTTCTCATTAAGGCCGTCGTTAGAGCCGCGGGGCGGCGGCACAGATCGAAGCCGCTGACGTCTTCTGTTGACGTCCTTTTTTTTTGAATCGGCGGATTTAAGCGCTTCGGGAAGCCGAATTCCCCACGATTTTCTCAAAGCGCGGCGGCGGATCTGGGCGTGGGTGGGAACCCCGCTCTGGGTTTCCCACAGGACCCATCGGCATCCCAATGAGATTCGATGAACAAAATCCAAAAGCGACCGACAGAGCAGAGCGGAGACGGAAAGTGTCTCCATAATCTCTACAAGAAACAGGACCAACCAAAGCTTCCTGTTTTCTTCTTATTTCAACGTGCCTCATCCCGCCTCGTGGGCCGCTGCAGAGGGGGGAGCATCATTTCCCACGATACCTTGTGTTCCACAATTAAACTGCACATCGCATTGCTCTGATGTTTGGGGAAAACCTCACCGCCAGGATCATTGTGCCATTACCTAAATGTTGCTCCATATGAACACTTTACTACTTTATGATCTAGGTCTTTGGATTCTTTGACTCTTTCTCCTTCCTGTCCTTCCCTTCCTTTTCTTTGTCTTTATGGGTTTGCGTGAGCTCGCCGGCGATTTCTACGTTTTTCAACCAAAAATTGGCTAAAATGAAGGCTTATTGCTCCCAGACTTGTTTTCACATCCGCGTCCATTTATTTATTTATTTCCCCTTTCTTCCTGTAAAGTGTAATCGTAGCAGACGTCCGCGCCGCAGACGGTGTGTAATTGTTCTCGGTGTACATCTGGTTTTTGGTGTAAGACCATCAAAGGACATCCTCTGCTCTGAAGTTTTGCCAAAAAGCTAAATGCAAACAAGCTCCTCTTCCTCCTCTCTGGCTTTTGAAAGGTGTTCTGGGAAATGTAGGAAATAACTGGAAAAGAGAACAATAAAACAACCCTTTTTGAATTGGACCTGCGTGCGGCCTCTGATGTTGGACTCCCGTGTTGTGCTTCAGGCCCAGATGCAGCGCTCGCTGGACACGCAGCCGAGGGCCCCCATTGGCCGGCGCAGCAGAAAGGAGGCGGCGGCGGCGGCGGCGGACGGCGGCGGGCAGCGCGGCAGTCCGGTGTCGGAACAGGACTCCGGCATTCTGGATGTGGAGGACGAAGAGGACGATGAGGTGAGGGAATGAAACGCACAAACACACAGTATTTCAATCTGTCCTCTCGAGCTGGACGATGAATATGGGACGGGATCTAATCACGTCCTCTAATCTCCAACATGAAACCCATCAGAATGCCTCCGTCCCTTTCGTGTCCTCCTGTCTTCTCTCATAATCTAATCTTTTTGCCAGCAGTGTGTTGAGTTGATCTGTTCAAATCCTTCAGACTAATAAGAGCACTTTCATTTCTCTAGTTTCATTCACCGTGTTGTCTTTTTATACCAAATGACACTCTGGAGCTGTGGGACATTTAAGGTCCTCGGCCACATGTTTACAGAGAAGCACAATGAGGGTGAACTTGTCAACCCCCCGTCGTTGTGTTTTGAGGTCCCCGTCGTCCCCTCGGCTTATTTACGTCCTGTAAACTTAACTCAACCTTGCCTCGAAACAAAAGGGCCTGACCCCGCGGTCGCCGGGGGTTACGACCGCGCCGGCGCCGCTGAGACGCGGCGATGCCAGCCCGTCTCCTCGCGCCACCGCTGCCGCGTCTTTTCCCCTTCCCTTCATTTACAGCCGTCCCCTTGTGTCCCCGCTTCCTACTTCTATTTGCTCCCTTTGTTCTTCTACTCGTGTCCTTTTTTTATGGATCACGGGGGAAGATGCACATTCTCTCAGCTTTAAACTGCATTTACCTGCTTTTCTCCCCCCCCCTCCCCCTCCCCTCTCCCTCTCGTTGTCACATCAAAGCTGGCATTGTGTGTTTTTTTATAGAAAGCTAACTTTCCACAGGGCAACAGGGCACATCCCTTTGAGACCGAGTGTGCTTTGAAATGGGCAGTTGGCCCCCGTGTTGCTCTCCCCGGGGGTCACGGAGGATGTGGGCAGGGAGGAAGCGGCGGAATGTGGGATGGTCACACCAGATGTGGTGACACTGGCAAAATAATGCAGCGCTTTACTTTTTAAACAAATAATTGCGCGCTGAAGTGCGACGGTGTGCGAACAATCCAACTCGCTCTACTCTCTTCTGTCGCCTTCAGCACCACATTATAATCCTCTGTAGTTGCAGCGCGCTCGCCTTCTTGTTTGAATTTCCGTTTCAACTTTATTTGCACGAAATAAAAAAAACGTATTTTGTTGTCAAAACATCAACGACATGTGTATAAGCGTTTATTTGTCTCTGTAGGTGCCGGGTGCTCAGGACTTGGTGGATTTCTCCCCCGTTTACCGCTGTCTGCACATCTACACGGTGCTGGTGAGTGAGTCCACTTCTTCTCTCTCGTTGTGACGTCGACTGATCCGACGATGGAGACCTCTAACCCCGATTAATTCCCCCGCATGTTCATTTAAATGGCCGACTTTTCGGCGCTGTCCGCGGTGCTGAACTGCGGACACCTCGTGTGTGTGTATGTGTGTGTGTGTGTGCGTGTTCCTTAGTTTAATTTTGGTTCCGCAATACAAATTAAACGGATGAAGCTGTGCAGACACAAGAAGTTCCTTTGGGAAGTCTTGGGGCCGAGGCCAAAAACACACGACATTTTTTCAAAATCTGCCTGACGTACAACAGAAGACAATCTTAACTGCTCACCAAAAAACGCTTTTCTGTTCTCAGCGACCACCGTTTGAAGTTTGTTTTCTCCTAAAGGTTTATGCATAGAGACGTATGCGATGCGGTCAGACGAGGCCTCCGCCTCGGGCCTGGCTTCACTCCAACCAGGCGGCTGCACAGTGTGTGTGTGTGTGTGTGTGTGTGTGTACTGTGACCGGGCCAATGCGACCAGAGGGTCGGCTGTTTCTGTTCAGTGTGTCTGGCAGGGGGACAGGAAGTGCATGAACTTTGACGGGAATTAGAAGATGAACGGGTAAAAAGAGGGAGCGATGGAGGGAGGCAGCAGAAGAAAAAGAAAGCATTGGGGTTAGAGGAAGAGTAAAGGGGGTGAGGTTGGATGATAGCGGATAGAGGAAGTTCAAAGGGTTAGAAGGGACGATGTCATGATGCTGGCAGGCAGAAAAAAAAAGCAGATTAATGATAATCTTGTTATTCCCTTTTACCTCCTGGATGGCCTTGAGAGACGTTTGATTTGTCACTTGATGTCTTGTTTTTGGATATTGATCATGTTTAAAAGCGGCCCACTTTTCTTACAGGTCGGGCGCAACTGTTAAAAGTCTTTGTGGATCTGAAGAGCCCCCCGGTTCATAAGCTATGAGCATTAATTACGCTGGTGCAAAGCCTTGCAGTGCCTTTTATTAATGAATAAAATAACGTAATAGTATTATGAGCTCTCCTCTTGGTACCGTAAAGGGGAAAGCAGCAGAATATAGGCAGAAGTCACACACCCCTTTCAATATATAGTTATTAAATATTGTGAATATAGCGATCACTTGAACTGAGTCTGTTTGGTGTGTCCTGGTCTTTGAACCCAGAATTCCATCTCACTTCCCCTCTAAATGATGAACAAGTGTCCGTGACACAGTGGGAGGGGGGAGGTCAGCGGCGTGACTCCCGACGTTCACAGGAAGGAGAGAGGAGAGAGTGACAGGGGTTAAAACAGGAAGACGAGAGTGAAAACACATCACAGAGGGAGTCGGGTGATTCAGAGAGAAGAGCGGAAGAAAACATGGATAAGGGAAGAGGGAGTGAAGGATGGGAGACGGAGGGGGGAAGAAGTGTGTTTAGTCTCGGTGAGGTGTTGAAAGGTCTGACCTCTTCACCTCGGAGGTCACTCACACACACACACACACACACACACACACACACACACACACGGTTTAAAGTTGTGTGTTTGACAGGCCGTTGGGCACAGACGTGGATTCACCATTTGAAAAAGAGTTTGCTGGAACCGGGCAGCAGGATTGACTGGAAAATCCTGAACGCACACACCGTTAAATGAGCGATCCGTACCCACACAGCCACGTGCATGTGGCCGTTTCATTTATTTGTCTAGTAAACCTGGATGTGAAGCCCTGCTTGCAATCAAGACCACCACTTTCTCCACCTCCTTTTTAAATTTTTCCTCCCGTCTCCATCCTTCTCTCCATTCCTGCTTTCTGTTTCCATGTTTTTAAGTCCAGGATTTTTCCAGCTAACGAAACAATGCCGCTTTTGTTAGTCTCACACACACACACACACACGATGTGATCGGTTTAAACGGGAGTATGAGGTCCAGCTCCCCGTCAGGGGAGCGTGTGGCGAGGAGGTCACGGCCGCTCGGTGCCGCTCTCGCTCCTCGGATGCTCATTGTTCTGAGGTGGGACTAAACGTGGTTCCAGCACGCGGACGTCTGGGCTTCAACCAGTGGAACTTATCTTCCTTCCATCCACTTCATTGTTCTGTGTGAGCGCTTTTCAATGGACATTGTTCCACGAGGGTCGGTTCAGAAGCATTTAAACAAGGCGACCCGGGTTCGACACCAAACTCCCCTCTGGACCTTTTTTTGAGTGTTATTACATTTGTGTCCAAATCGCGTATTTGAATAGCGATTGTTTTAGGTGGAAGGCATCCATGGGACATCCAGAACAAATGAAAAAACACTTTGCAATGCAGTTTTTTTCATAGATTTACGCTCCTAATAGTGAAAGTTTCTCACAAATGTCTTAATAATACAAAATAATAATGATGGGCTCCACATAGTGATGTAACACAATCTGACTTTCCCTTTTCTTTAAATGACCTTATAGCTGTCCATGGCCCCTTATCTCCTTCTTTACATGTGATGTCACTTCCTGCTAGTCAGCAGTGTAGATATACATGTCAGTTATCTGCCTCCTTATCGCTGAGCTCGCCCAGGACTCCGGGGTCCTGGTCTGGCCCCCAGATAGGTCCCGTTTCCCCCACAGAGACGAGATAAGGGGGAGAGAGATGAGAGAGCGAGAGAGCTTCTGTGTAATGGAAAGAAAAGATACGAGGCGGACAAGTTCAGAAAGCCCCGTTCTGTGTTTTTTCTAGTTTTGATGTCTGACAGGGTGACGCCAAGTAAAACTGAACCGGAGCCGGTCATCAAAGACACTTTCTCTGTCTCCCTCTCTGAGACACACACACACACACACACACACACACACACACACACACACACACACACACACGGCCTCAGTGTGACCTTTCCCATCGCGCCGTGGTTCTAACTTTTTATACATTCTCCCTTGAAATCAGCCTCATTTTTCTTCAGTCAGCTAACCCGTGATTTGTGTCCCAGGGTTTGCGTGACGTGTTTGAGAACTACTACAGGAAGCAGAGGAGGAAACAGGCTCGCCTCGTGCTGCAGCCGCACTCTAACATGGTATGACCCTGCACCTCCACCCCGTGTGTGTGTGAACGCACCTCGAGTCCCACACACTCATAACTACACCCCTTAACCTTTAACTCTGGAGTTGAACGCTCTTCCTCTCTTCCCGCTATATTTGTTGTTGTTGTTGTTCTTGTGTATTTCCAGCATGAAACTCTGGAGGGATACAGGCGGTACTTCAATCAGATTGTCGGGTGAGTGCCTCCATCTTTAATTAACTGCTTCATCAGGAGAGTTTTCAGGGTCCACAAACGCCCGCATCCATCCGCCGCCCATTCCACAAACGCCCGCATCCATCCGCCGCCCGGTCCACAAACGCCCGCATCCATCCGCCGCCCATTCCACAAACGCCCGCATCCATCCGCCGCCCATTCCACAAACGCCCGCATCCATCCGCCGCCCATTCCACAAACGCCCGCATCCATCCGCCGCCCATACCACAAACGCCCGCATCCATCCGCCGCGTCCACAAACGCCCGCATCCATCCGCCGCCGGGTCCACAAACGCCTGCATCCATCCGCCGCCCGGTCCACAAACGCCCGCATCCATCCGCCGCCCGGTCCACAAACGCCCGCATCCATCCGCCCGGTCCACAAACGCCCGCATCCATCCGCCGCCCGGTCCACAAACGCCTGCATCCATCCGCCGCCCGGTCCACAAACGCCCGCATCCATCCGCCGCCCGGTCCACAAACGCCCGCATCCATCCGCCCGGTCCACAAACGCCCGCATCCATCCGCCGCCCGGTCCACAAACGCCCGCATCCGTGCGTCCACACGTCCACCCTTCACCCTCCTCTCTAACTGTCCATGTGTAACTTGGCGAGAGAGAGTTTGAGTGAAAGCAAACATTCAGCGTCTGAAGACACCTCATTTCATTGTTTGAGCTTTTCACATCTTTTCATCTCTCATCCCCGTCGGTTCTTTCTTTTTTAAATTTATTTTTTTTTTTTTTTTACCCTTTTCATCTCTCTGGCCACACTCACTCAGAAGCTTCCTCATACTTTTCCTCTCAGCTGTCAGTCCATCCAACTCTCGCCGTTGCGTTCACACACACAGGTGATGGAGTGTGTGTGATGGTGGTTGGCTTATTGCTGTTATTCATTCTGTCTGACTTGAACAGACGCTTCTATAAACACTGCATGGGCTGGACATCTCTGCCGCACACACACACACACACACACAAAATGCCCTCAGGTCTGTTTTTCCCATTTAACGTTTTGGGAAATGCCATCGCGTCTGTTTCTCTCACATTGTTCAGTAATTCAAACCACTTCTTCTCCTTCATTCTTCTTTCTTCATGTAAGTAACATTTTATTATAAGTGTCAGGGCAGATTAAATGTTCTATTTTACCCATTAAACCTAAAACCAAAACCTCCAGTTTTTGTGTAAATAAGCAATGATTTTGTCTTTTAATTATCGTGTCGCTCCCCCGCCCAGCTTCTTCGTGGTAGAGGACCACGTCCTTCACACCACCCAGGGTTTGGTCAACCGGGCGTACGTGGAGGAGCTGTGGGAGCTGGCGCTGTCCAAGCTCATCGCCGCCCTGAGGACGCACTCTGTAAGGACGCGAGCGAAACCCGCGTAGCCCGCCAGTAGCCACCGGCACATAAACAAACCCCCCCTCTTGTCTCCTCAGTCGTACTGCGACAACCCCGACCTGGTCCTGGATCTGAAGAATCTCATTGTGCTTTTTGCAGACACGCTGCAGGTAGGTGCCTCAGGTCCATGACCAGTGAATAAACATGTTCTCCCATCCACGTGTTCTTCAGAATAAAAGCTTTAAACACCTCTTTTTTCCCTGCAGGGTTATGGCTTCCCGGTGTCGCAGCTGTTCGACATGCTGCTGGAGATGAGGGAGCAGTACGGGGAAATCCTGCTCAAGCGGTGGAACGTCACTTTCAGGTACCTGCGGCCACCGGATCGCCCACCTTCTGCTGGCGAGGCGCCTCGGGGCACGTTCGGGGGGGATCGTTTTAGCGTTTCAGTAGCGGAGTGCGTGCCGCACCGACCTTCCCCTTCCTGTCGCCAGGGTGCACCTAGTTTGTGGGACTTCTAAACGCACACGCACCACTGTTGATTTGTGGGAAACGTCCTCGTCTTGGTTTTGATGTTTTACGACCAGCCGGAGGGAGGAAAGGCTTTTAAAGCAAACGTCCGGAACAGAAAGGGTAGTACCCTTACAAGAGGGTGTGTGTGTTTTCGGGCTTACATGCCATTGTTTCACCATCGCTTTTGTGCGATGACACCAGAGGGACTTGAAGTGAGAACACACACACACACACACACACACAGATGCACACGCTGGGGAAGCCACAGGAATGTTGTATTGTTGGAGAGGGAGCTCTCTCCGGTTCACGGCCTCTCCATGGAACGCTGGAACGTCCGAACTCTGGAGCGCCAACAAGAAGTGGTAAAAAAAAAAAACACAAGCATTACAATGACCCCCAATGGGATAGTTGTGCGTCTGTGTGTGTGTGTGTGAGAGGGAATTTGATGGCATTTCTGTGATTCCTGTCTGAAAATAGAAGATTCTTCTTGTTATTTTTTCTTTCCCCTGTGCAGGCAGGTGTTGGACCAGGACAACTTCAGTCCAATCCCCGTGTCCACGGAAGAGGAGTACAAACACTACACTGCCCAGTTTCCTCTGCAAGACCCCGAACTGGACAAGGTAGAGCGGATGAGAACAGCAGATCACGCATCAGAACAAACCAACGAATCAGAACGCAATGAAATGTCACCTAATCCCCGCTTTCTCCCTCCAGCTTCCTTTCCCCAAGAAGCTTCCCTTCTCAGAGTTTGTGCCAAAAGTCTACTGCCAGCTCAAAGAGTTCATCTACGCTTGCCTGAAATACTCTGAAGACCTTCATCTCAGGTAAGCTCCTGTGTTGATCTGAGGAAGGAACACCCCCCCCCCCCCCCCCCCCCCCCCCAACACAAACACACACACACACGCGCAGAAGAATATGTCCGACTTTCCCTCCTGGATTCTTTCCACTCCGACCGGAGATCTTTGTCTTATTAGATTTGACCACAACTCTGCAATCAAGTCCTGCTTCTGTTCCATGTTCTGTCGAGGTTAAACGGTAACCCTCTAAGTGTGCGTGCGTGTGTGTGTGCGTGTGTGTGTGTGTGTGTGAGATGGTAACGGATGATGGAAGAATCAACTAAAACAATGCAGCCACTTTTCTACCGAGGAGACGAGCAATCAGGAAACAACTTCCGCTGTCCACAAGGATTCTACACACACACACACACACACAGATCCACATGCGTGGAGGCTTGTATGCATAACACACACATGGAACTTGAACCCCACATGTCAAATAACAAAGAAGCCTTCATTCACATTCTGCAACAACACACCATTTAATCCTTCAGTTTGATCCGTATTATTAGTGTCGAGCTGATTTGTTATGAAAATGGCAGCTTCTTTTATGCCCCTTTACCTCCCCGGGGCCTCGTGTGGCTTTCCTTCATTTATTATCAGCGTATTTGTATCCAGTGACCTTGTGTTCGATAGTTTGTGCGTCTGTGTGAAGGCTCACGTGTTAGTTTGTGTGTGTGTGTGCGCGGAGGGACCATTGATCCGTGACCGGCGGAAGAGGGAGAAACGAAGGCCGGACGGGGAGAAGTGATTAGAAAGAGAGCGCGCTCTCTGTGCCTGACGATCCTTGTTAGACGTCGAGAGGAGACGCGTCCTGCAGTAAAAAAATCATCTTTTCCCAACGAACAAAGATGTCCATGCGTTTCCTCCACTAATCGCTCGCCTCAATCAGCGTAATGACTCCGCTATTTGATTTCTGCGCCGCCGCGCGCCCTGCTATCCGGTTACCGCGGCGACACGCCTTCCTGCCCGCTTCAAACGGGGGACGCGCACCGGCCCGGAAGCCGGCGGGATGATGGAGCTCGATGGCGGTCATTGATCCCGCTGACCTTTTGACATTAACCTCTGTTCTCAATTGTGGGAGGAAACCAAGTGTGTGTGTGTGTGTGTGTGTGTGTGTGTGTTGGTCTTGAAGACTTCTGTTGAACACAACTGCCTCCTTACTAAGTCCCTCCTGGAATAAGGTGAGCCCTCTTCCTGCATGAGTCAATCGAGGCCGGCGTACCGGGAAGCATTACCAAGATACGGGAGACGCTTCAAAATCAAACAATGTTTTATTGCAGTTGTTTTTAGTGCTAAACAATAAAAATGTTGCAGAAGTACAGAAACAAATGCAATGCAAAAATTAGAAAGATTTATTTTTTAATATCATTATTATATGGAGAATAAAGTGACATAACTAACACCGTTGCCATGGGAGACCCAGTCAACTCCCCGTCGTTGTGCAGGGAAAGTTGCCGCCGTGACGTTTTGGGGTCTGATTTAAAACACAGTGCTGGACTGGCAGAGGCTGCAGCGCCGTGGTGATACAGAGCTTTTCTGATGTTTCAGTGGGAGCAGAGTTTTCGGAGGGGGGTGGAGGGGGTGTGGTGGAGACGTGTCGAGTTGTGAAAACCGGAGCCGGGTGTCGCTGGGGGAGAGCGAGCGAGTTCAGCTGGCGCGTTTGTCGGGAGGACGAGGAGCCGGAAGGCCAACCGAGGCGAAGACAATCGGACGATTCAGAAAATGGATCTCTGTTGGATGGCCGGAGGCGGCGCTTCCCTTTTGTGCGTTCATACCTCTCGCCCGTGTGTTCCTCACTGCGCCGTGAACATGCTGCATGAAGGCCGTCTGCCTTCCCTCCGACGGCATCGGCCACCGCAGAATGAAATATATATAGAAATATACATATTGCAGCATAAATATAATGAAATTCAATCCGCATTCTGTCTGTGTGTGTGTGTGTGTGTATGTGTGTGTGTGTGTGTGTGTGTGTGTGTGTGTGGCCAGAGTTCACTCACATTCAGTGACTTTTTGACATTCTCTTCCCTATTTTTGTCCACTCTGCACTTCTGCAGAGGATATCTCTCCCCCCCCCCCCCTCGCTCCAAATCATCGGAACGTTTTTAGGATTCCTCTACTTTTTTGGAAACAAAGTGAGTTGAGAATTCCAGCGCTCGCTCTCCCTCAGGCGACACCGTGCTTAGGTGCGTGTGTGTGTGTGTGTGTGTGCGTGTGTGTTTGTGTTGAATTCCAGGCTCAGATAGTTTACTGATTTTGGTTGGAATGTGTTTGTTACCCACAGGACTCTGGCATCGAACACGCGCGCTAAAAACACGGATTCCTCCTCTTGGACCCGCAGCGCTTTTGTTTCTGCCGCGTTGTGTGTCGTCCTCCGCTCTCTCTGGGCTCGTGTTGAGTACTAAAGTTTTTTTTTTTGTGCGTTTCCGCGTGTTTCCTCTCACCTGGTGTGTCTGACTGCGCTGCACGCTGGTCCCTCCCTCAAACTGACCCCGGGTCAGCTTCTCTCATGCAGCTTGACGCTTCCAGGAAGCCGCGTTATTAAGCGAGACGCGCGCTGCCATGAAAAACCTTCTGGGTTTCTTCAGCAGACGTCCACCACATTTGCAGTGCAGCGAAAGGGGTCGTGTGTGCGTTGTGTGAGCGGCGTCTGATTAGCGCCGTCGAACATCCACTCAAGCAGGAAATCTGAGCTCGGCTCGCTGTCCTCGTTGGCGGCGCAGAGGTGGTAATTTGATGACTTTTTAAAGTGTGGAGGTTGGAGGATGGTAAATGTATGTTTAAGAATCAAAAGGCTAATACCGGATCATGAGGCAAATGGGGAAAAAACTATTCCTGGATCAGCTTTACGAGCCGTCTTTGGGTCATTTATTGATTCAGGGACAATTTTCTCCAATTTTAAATGGCTATTTAGATCAATTATTTTCAGGCTGCGGTGCAGATTGAAGGCGATGTTTGACTTTTAATGAGGCCGACAGCTCATAACGTGGTAATGTCATTCGAACTGGCTGACATTTAGACTTTTTCCAACCGGAGAGCTTTCTGCAGACTGAGAAATGAGCTTAAAGTGTTTGCACTGGCTTTCAGGCGCGGCGGCCCTCTGCAGGAGAAGACTTGTGCACAGTCACTCACTGTCTGTGTGTGTGTGTGTGTCTGTGTGTCTCTTCCCTCAGCTCCACCGAGGTGGATGATATGATCCGCAAGTCCACGAATCTCCTGCTGACCAGAACGCTCAGCCACTGTCTGCAGTACGCCATCAAGAAGAAGAATGTCGGGCTGGCGGAGGTGTGTGTGTGTGAAGAAGAAGCCCCTTCTTGTTATAATCCCCCTCTAAAGGGAACGCGCTAATGTTGTTGCGCAGCCTGCTCAGAATGAGCATGATGTCCTCTGTTGTCGTAACGATGATGGCCAGTGGGGCTTTTTAGGTTTTAACGAACCCAAAGACGCCATCTTTAACATTTGCGTCCAGTTGGTGCAGGTGATCATAAACACCACGCACCTGGAGCAGAGCTGCCACTTCCTGGAGGAGTTCATATCGAACATCACCAACGTCCCGCCCGACTCGGCCAACGCCACCAAGCTGTACGGGACCTCCACCTTCAAGGTGCGCCCGCCGTCTCCTCTCGTCGTCTGTCCGTCCTTTTTATTCTGCGCCCTCCCTCACTTCTTCTTTTTTGTCCCGTGGTCTTTTGTTCAGGACGCTCGCCACGCGGCCGAGGCCGAGATCTACACCAACCTCAACGCCAAGATCGACCAGTTCCTGCAGCTGGCTAATTACGATTGGATGGCCGCGGCGCCGGGAGGCGGGGCTCTGGAGGCCAGCGACTACCTGGTGGACCTGATCGCTTTCCTGAAGAGCACCTTCAGCGTCTTCACCAACCTGCCTGTCAGTACAAGCGCACTCAGACGTGCAAAGCACGTTATAAATCAGCACGAAGGCACAGCTAGAATATGTTTTCATTACCTTTAAGTGTGTGTGTGTGTGTTATACAAGCCCCCCCACCTGTCCGGCTGCATGTTACTGTGGGCCGCCACAGGGCAGGACAATCTGCTTTAGCTCGTTAGGGTGTCGGCGCGTCGCGGGGTTAGATCGTTAACATGGGCCCCGGTAAGCTCCTCAAAGGGTCAGCTGGTCAGGTCAGCAGCACCGGATCACACAGCAGCTCAGGCCATTGACTCCACGGCCCGGCTGCCACACACACACACACACACACACACACACACGCACACAAGCGTGCATCGCTGGTTCTGATGGAAAGTGGGGAATTTTTCCCCTCTAGTTTCATTGATCATCTGAAATGTTTGGTAGCCGGTGTACAATTTTCCTACAGCCGCTACAACAAATCCCCGTTCAGGAAGTGTTTTATTGATCCGGTCAAGGCCGTGTGACCTATTCATGTTGCGATCGACATGTATGCACCTCAGATTAACGGGACAAAAGCCCTGAAAGCGGCTGACGGCGTTTGCTCACACACGGTCCAAGTTCCCACTCACAGCTCTCATAAAGCTCGCAGCGCGCACACACACACAGGGTTAGTTTTAAGATGATCGCGCACACAGATTTGGTCGAAGCGGGTCACAAGGCCACGATGCCACACACACACGAGGTGGTCGAAGTGTTTTCCAGCACTTCTAAGGAGCTTTTCCTTACACCCCGAGAGCCCCGGACACGACGCCGTCTCACACACTTTAACACACACACGCGCGCACACACACACACACTCTGGGGCCTCCTAAGTAGATCAGACGCTATAGATCTAAAATCTGGGAGGTATGACCCTCTGAAATACGAGCTGATGATATAATGGAGTAGATGAATCGGATATTGTTGGAGGGAGAAGGAAACGAGAAAAGGACTTTAACTAGAGCTCCTACTTCTGTACTAATGAACTAGAACCAACGAGTAGTAAGTATTCACGTGTTCCGCATGAATTTAAGGGTTAAAAATACACACGGACAGTAGTACACTGTAGAAGCAGCTCGTATTGTGTTTTGGGGTTAAGACTACACTTAGCTTTGCACTCCTGTGACGTTGTTGGACTCTGAATTGACAGTTCAAGGTAAGAAAACAAAGCTCCAGAAAGCTTTGGTCCCGTCCAAAACCCCCCCAAATATGCGAGAACCCAAAAAGGGGGTAACGAGAGAACGTCTTTAATTCAGCTTTAAACAGCTAATTGGGATCCAAATAAACCGAAGGTCAGTCGATTTGAGACAGAAGACCATCATTTAAGAGGAACATTTTTGTGTTGAATGGAATCGGCGACGTTACGCAACAGTGGAACCCGACCGGGCGATTCGTTAAGTGGCGGCTCGCCGTGACACAGCAACATTCCTGTGTGTGTGTGTGTGTGTGTGTGCGAGCGGCGGTACCCGGCTGGAAGCCGCCGTGTGCTTGGAGAGCTCAGCGGGCTCACGTTTCTTCGGCGGGGGGGCCTCGTGGTCCCGCCTCTCAGCGGAGAGAGGAGCTAATAATACCGCTAGCTAGGCTACCACCAAAGGCCCCGGGACTGAGAAAGATCATGTGGAAGTCAAGGAAGGGAACTTTTTGGACTCCACTTTGAGTCCAAAGAGCTCCAATTTCCTGGATTTTATAAGCTGCTCGACGGCTTGTGTTGATTGCGCTCCGAGCAGGTTCCTGGCTGCTCTTCTCTCTCCGTGTGTGTTTTGGGACTTACTGAACATCTCAAGAGCCCGTGTGCAATAAATACAAAAAGGTGGAAGACGTCCAAAGAGACGAGAGAGAGAGAGGTTTATTTCCACGCAGCCGTCACACGAGTTTCCCCTCAACTTTTTAAATGTTTTTTCCTTTGTCACGTCTCCCAATAATAATAACACACGGCTTTCTGCTGTGTTGCCATCCAGCTGAATGTTCCCGGTTTATGTTTCTCACCGTAGGGAACGCCGGTAGAGCACGCCACCTTACCGGTGAGTATCCGGCTTGTTGAGATAACGGGAGTGTTGTGTGCCGATCCCCGACTGACCCTTTTGACCCCTAAAAAAAAAAGAGAAGCGGCATGCGAGATGCGGCTGCAGTGATGCATGTTTTCCTGGTTCTGTGCTCACGCGTCCCAACCAGGGAGGGAATTCCCAAACGTTCCCGAGTCTTTTCTGGGTTTCTAACACGCTTTTTTTGACGTTTCCAGTTGTAAAAGAGTCCCAGATCACAAATGGATTCCCCTTCTTCAGTCTGACCCCGAAACCAGATTCACTCTGAAGACGGTTTCCCTCCGGAGGGCGTCGCCCCGCCGTATTTTATTTTATTTTATTTCTTCGTTGTTCCTCCTGACTCTTGGCCGCCCCCCCGACCCGCTCGTCCGGTTGACTGACGGCTTTCTGGATGTGCCGCGGGGGCCCGTTACGCCGCCGCGTCCAATCCCTTCCAGGAATCGTGAATCAGAGCGGCGCTCCCCGACTCCTGACCTGCTCCTGGCGAACGGCGAAGGCCGAGGTCCCGACCCCTCCCCCCCCCACCCCCCCGCGGGAGTGCTTCACGACACCAATCTGTTTTTACGCTGAACACTTTGACGTGTGAGGTTCTGGTTGTTTTAACGCATTTCCCCCCTCGCAGTTGCTCCCGTCGCTTTTCTTTTAATTCAAAGTGGTGGATTTTAATTCCCTGGTGGAAATATCTGGTTGTGTTTATTGCGCGTGTGCCACCGCCGCCGCTTGTAAATAAGGTGTCATGATCACGCAGTCGAATTCACTTACTGTGTTTTAAATATCACAGACCACATTTTTTCTGTTATTGCAAAAAGTTATTTGATCTTTTTGAGCTCCTAAAATCACACAAATTAAAACATTTAGGGGAACAATAGACGGTGTGTAGTAACACGTGGGATTATTGACTGAGACCACCCCCAATAAAATGTTCTCATTTCACTCGCTGTCTCTCAAATGTGCTGCTCTTCTGTTTTTTCCTTTCATTGCTCACATATTCGCCTCTGCTAATCTTGATTTTGCTCCGCTTTGGTCTCCACCAACTGCTTCTATTTGACAGATTTTCTTTTCTTCTCCTTCAGCTCACTTTCTATGAGCCACTTTGCCAAATGATGAAAGAGGAGAAATGGTTCAGTAGAGCTACAAAAGAGGCCGTTTTCACACGTATTTAATAGTTAAATCAACAGAAGCTGACAGCAAGAGAAAGTGCGGAGTTGCATATTTTACTGTCATTCGCATCTGTCTGCATTCCTTTCCTTACTCCTCCTTTTCCTTCCTCTCATTCCTATTTAATGACCCATCCTTTCCTCCTCACCTCTCTCCCCCTGCACCACTTTCCTCCTTCTTTCACTCTTTCGTATTATTTGTTCAGCCGTTGGCGTCTGACTAGCTTTTAATGAGCACTTTCGTTAGGTGGAGGGAAGGATGGAGGGAGTGAGGGAAGGATTTAAGGAGAGAGGGAGGCAGGAATGGAATCTTCGCTTGATCTGTCTCTCCTTCGCGTCCTCTGGCCTTTTGTCCTATTCACCTTCCACTTCCTTTCCTTCCTTCCTTGCTCTGCTCATTCTGTCCTCTACTCCTCTCCACTTCCTTTCCTTCCTTCCTTGCTCTGCTCATTCTGTCCTTTTCTCCTCCTCACTTCCTTCCTTCCTTTTCTGCTCATTCTGTCCTCTACTCGTTTCCACTTCCTTTCCTTCCTTACTTCCTTGGACAGATCATTCTGTCCTTTTCTCATCCTCACTTCCTTTCCTTCCTTCCTTGCTCAGATCATTCTGTCCTTTTCTGCTCATTCTGTCCTATACTCCTTTCCACTTCCTTCCTTCCTTCCTTCCTTGCTCTGCTCATTCTGTCCTTTTCTCCTCCTCACTTCCTTTCCTTCCTTCCTTGCTCTGCTCATTCTGTCCTTTTCTCCTCCTCTCTTCCTTCCTTCCTTTTCTGCTCATTCTGTCCTCTACTCCTTTCCACTTCCTTTCCTTCCTTGCTCTGCTCATTCTGTCCTTTTCTCCTCCTCACTTCCTTTCCTTCCTTCCTTGCTCTGCTCATTCTGTCCTTTTCTCCTCCTCACTTCCTTCCTTCCTTTTCTGCTCATTCTGTCCTATAAACCTTTCCACTTCCTTTCCTTCCTTCCTTGCTCTGCTCATTCTGTCCTTTTCTCCTCCTCACTTCCTTTCCTTCCTTCCTTGCTCTGCTCATTCTGTCCTTTTCTCCTCCTCACTTCCTTCCTTCCTTTTCTGCTCATTCTGTCCTCTACTCCTTTCCTTCCTTCCTTCCTTGCTCTGCTCATTCTGTCCTTTTCTCCTCCTCACTTCCTTTCCTTCCTTCCTTGCTCTGCTCATTGCGACCTCCACTCCTCTCCACTTCCTTTTCTTTTTTCCCCTCTCCCTTTCTCACCTAAGTATCTTTCCTTTCCATTCAAATATGATCAATTTCCTTTCTCCTCTCCTCACTTCTTTCCTCTACTCACCTTTCCTCTCCTTCCCGTTGCTTTCCTTGTCCGTTGCTCCTTTCTTCCACTTGTTTTTCTTTCCTTTCTTCTCCCTTTCTCACCTCCCCTCTTTTCCACTCATATTTTCCTCCCTCCTTTAGTGCTTCAGGCTAAAGGTTCCCAGGTGTCTTTATTGAACTCTGCGCCGACACGTTTCTGTCAGACGGACGTGTGTGTGTGTGTGTGTGTGTGTCATGTAAATAGAATTAGCCTATTTCACGCTCAATCTCGCCCTATGATAATTGACCCCTGGGTCTTGTGCGCTTGCAGAGGTCAGAGGTCAACATGGTATGGGAGGATATCCGGCCTGTCGTAGGTGTGCGTTTCTTGAACATGTGTGCTGGCAGGTTTCACTCCCGGCTTCAACGGGACCGTCCCGCCGCTGACGGGGGTTTTGTGAATGGTGAATGGAGGTGAATGGACGGTCACTCAAATGAAAACACGTAATTGAATTGATCTCCTTTATGGTTTTGCTGTTAATTCCGTATTAACAGTTTGACCACTCGTTCTATCACGATCGCTTCACAGGAATATTAAAGTCTTTGCATCCCAACCCGACTGATCACCACATGTTTGACCTCAACTCAAAAAGTTATCTCAAAGTTTGCTGCAAGACAGTTTGGACCATCGTTACTATTTCTGTCATCGACGCAAACAAACAACCGAGAAAATCAACTGACTGAATCTCAACATTTACCAGCACAACTAAAATAATCCACATAACAAAGTGTCATTTTGATGTGATTAGAACTAACTTGAACCTGAGGCCTAAGATTAAGCTCAATTACACACCTGCATGAGTGTGGTTGGTGTGTGTATGGACACGATGGGTTTTGTGTGTTTAATGTAGCTTTGTTCAGCAGGTCAAAGAGGCCGCAGATGATTTTCTCCCTTTCTGTTTTCTACCCGTTTAACTTTTCCCTGATTTTCATCTCCGGCTTCATGCTGCTGAAAATGCAGACGTCGAGGCAGCGCCATGTTTTTCACACACACACACACACACACACACACACACACAGTGTTTTGGGTGTCTGTATTAATGCGTCCCCCCCCCCCCCCTCAGGGTAAAGTGGCCCAGACGGCCTGCATGTCAGCCTGTAAACACATCTCCACCTCCCTGACGGAGCTCCTGCTGGACCCGGAGGTCAGACAGATCTCCATCGGCGCTCTGCACCAGCTCAACGCCGACGTGCAGGAGTGCGAGGGTGAGTGTCCTCGTCTAGTTCTTCATTTAGCAGCACGCTCTGCTTTGACCTCCCCCCTCCCCCCTCCCCCCGCCCCTCCCGAACCGCCAAAACCCGCCGGCGGGACTGAAAAACGCTTTTCTTTTCTTTGAATATGCACAAACGTATTCGGGTGCTTTTCACATTGAGTTGGTTGCATTCTATTTAGTTTTTTCGGCACATGAACTTGGCTCCTTAGTCGCAATGACGAGTGCAGAATTGAATGTTTTCTTCCAGAACCCGGTTGGAGCGAAGGGCTTATTTTCTGGGCGAGTTTTTAAATGAAACATAAAAATGTCGAGCTTTGTCAGAGCCCGTCGAACGCGACGTGATGGGGGCCCGTCAGGAGGGGAAAAGCTGACTGCGAAGCCTGCGGCTCTTGTAAATGGGAGTTTTTAGCGTTTTTAAAGCAAACCTGCTCTTCAGTCCCGCCGGGTTTTTTTTGGGGGGTTCGGAGGGTGAACGTTATTCGCCGTCGACCTCATCCTCCCCTCCCTCTGTTCTTCATCTCAGACCCCTCACTTTTTTTTAATCCCTTTCATGCCGCATTGTCGCTTATTCCGTGCTTCTTTCGTTCAAGCTGACACACACACACACACACACACACACACTTAGACGCACAAACCAAAGCTGGGAAGCGGCGAGTCAGAAAGCTCTCCTCTGCCATGCGGGTAGTTTCTGTTTGAAAGCCCAGGGGGCGCTATGGATCAACTGGTTACCGTTTGGTGGGGGCGGCCGCGCGCATCTTCTCATTTCTGTGCCCCCTTCGTCGCGTCCTTCTCCCTTTCCTCCCCGCTCCCTCCCCTTATCCTCCCTTCTCTCCTTCCCATCTGGTCCGTGCTGCTTGTTCTTCTCCCTCTCCATCCATCCCTCTCCTCCTCCACCTCCCTGCCCTCTCGCGCCTGTGGATGAGGAGGGAGAAGATGGAAGAAGTCGTAGACGAAGGAGATCGAGTGTTTTATTTCAGGTGGTGAAAGTTCGGCAAAAGAGGAAATATTTGAATAGAGACGAAGGGACGTACGGAGAAAGTATGGAAGGAATGAGCAGAAAAAAAATAAGCGTGATGCATAAATAGATTCAGTGAACGAGAAGCAAATGTGTGTGTGTGTGTGTGTGTGTGTGTGAAAAGTGAAGTGAGAAAGGATTAAATGATAAAAGAGGGATAGAGTTGAATGGGATGAAAGAGGTTGAGGAATAAGAGGGCAGAGAAAATGGGATTAAATGAAAGGGCTGTGAATTAAAAAAAGCCCAAGACGAGTACAGCAGGAAGTGAGGGCAGAACATGGATGAGAGGGGGCATTAAAGGAGTCTGAAAGGAGGAGGAAGTGAGGGGGGCACATGAGGGAGGAATTACAGATTAAATAAGAGGAGGAATTTCAGCATTGTGTCACATGAAAAGAAAGCGAGGTCGGATAAATCACTGGGATCCGATAAGTAGGGAAAAAAGATGGAGGAGGAGGAGAGACGCTGAAGTGAAGGAAAGAAGGAAGAAACCCAAGGAGCATTTTTGGCCTTTTGAGTGACTCGAAGCGAAGGTGGAAGTAGTTGGGGGGGGTGATTGATGGATTCCATGGAGGTGGAGTCAGGCAGGAAGTGATTGATGGATTCCATGAAGGTGGAGTCCAGCAGGAAGTGATTGATGGATTCCATGGAGGTGGAGTCAGGCAGGAAGTGATTGATGGATTCCATGAAGGTGGAGTCAGGCAGGAAGTGATTGATCGATTCCATGAAGGTGGAGTCAGGTAGGAAGTGATTGATCGATTCCATGGAGGTGGAGTCAGGCAGGAAGTGATTGATCGATTCCATGAAGGTGGAGTCAGGTAGGAAGTGATTGATCGATTCCATGGAGGTGGAGTCAGGCAGGAAGTGATTGATGGCTTCCATGAAGGTGGAGTCAGGCAGGAAGTGATTGATCGATTCATGAAGGTGGAGTCAGGTAGAAGTGATTGATCGATTCCATGGAGGTGGAGTCAGGCAGGAAGTGATTGATGGATTCCATGAAGGTGGAGTCAGGCAGGAAGTGATTGATCGTTCCATGAAGGTGGAGTCCAGCAGGAAGTGATTGATGGATTCCATGAAGGTGGAGTCAGGCAGGAAGTGATGATGGATTCCATGAAGGTGGAGTCAGGCAGGAAGTGATTGATGGATTCCATGAAGGTGGAGTCAGGCAGGAAGTGATTGATCGATTCCATGCAGGTGGAGTCCAGCAGGAAGTGATTGATCGATTCCATGAAGGTGGAGTCAGGCAGGAAGTGATTGATCGATTCCATGAAGGTGGAGTCAGGCAGGAAGTGATTGATGGATTCCATGAAGGTGGAGTCCAGCAGGAAGTGATTGATCGATTCCATGAAGTGGAGTCAGGCAGGAAGTGATGGATCGATTCCATGCAGGTGGAGTCAGGCAGGAAGTGATGGATCGATTCCATGCAGGTGGAGTCAGGCAGGAAGTGATTGATCGATTCCATGAAGGTGGAGTCAGGCAGGAAGTGATGGATCGATTCCATGCAGGTGGAGTCAGGCAGGAAGTGATTGATCGATTCCATGAAGGTGGAGTCAGGCAGGAAGTGATTGATGGATTCCATGCAGGTGGAGTCCAGCAGGAAGTGATTGATGGATTCCATGAAGGTGGAGTCAGGCAGGAAGTGATTGATGGATTCCATGAAGGTGGAGTCAGGCAGGAAGTGATTGATTCCATGAAGGTGGAGTCAGGCAGGAAGTGATTGATTCCATGCAGGTGGAGTCAGGCAGGAAGTGATTGATCGATTCCATGAAGGTGGAGTCAGGCAGGAAGTGATTGATCGATTCCATGAAGGTGGAGTCCAGCAGGAAGTGAGAGGTAGCCGGCAGGAAGTGGAGGTTTGGTTAAAAGTTAGTTAACAACCACCATCAGCACGGCCGTGGTGTGTGTGTGTGTGTCACGGGGGTCACTGAAGATGGCAGGCGTATAATCAGTGCTGCTGCTGTGTGTGTGTGTGTGTGTGTGTGTGTGTGTGTGTGTGTGTGTGTGTGTGTGTGTGTGTGTGTGTGTCCTGAGGTGAAAGAGATTAGCCACAGGCTCGCTCTCTCCGCAGCACTCTGCTGCTCTCGTTCCCTCGCTCAGAATACCAGTCGGCTTGTTTACGGGGGCCGACTGACGCCAAGACCCCAGCTCACACTCCGTACGACCCCAACAACACACACACACACACACACACACACACACACACACAGGCGTCACCCTGGGTTCAAAATCCAACAGTCCCCAACTGTTCCCAAACATGCAGGCAAAGCCCTGTACAAACAACAAATAAACACACACAGTCTTAACGCCTATCAACTGTCACACACACATGCACACACTTGCGCACACACACACACACACACACACACACACACACACAGATGCATTCAGACAAGACAAATGCTCTGAAATCTCCACACACACATTCAAAGTGAACACACTGCTAAACCTTTCACACCGGCGAGCGCACACACACACACACACACACACACACGCTCTTTCTCCCTTTCAACAGGACCCAGCGACATGACTCTAACACCCTGCCCCCCCCGTCCCTCCCCCCTCCCTCCCCAGGCTGTCATTTGTCTGCCAATCTATCCCGATGCATAGCGAATCCGACCAGGTCTTTTATTATCCCGTTTTTCACCCTCTTTTTTTTCCCTCCCCTCCTCCTCCTCTCTTCCCTCTCTCCGGGGGAGGACTGGGGGGGGGGGGGGCGGGTTTGTATTTTCCCACAGGTTTTGCCAGAGCCGGCCCGGTCGCAGGCTTCCAGGGTGACACGTTGCTTCTGGCCTTCAGTGACTTGAGACAAGTAGGTCTTTGTCTCCCTCGTGGTCCTCTCTCCTTCGTTTTCTCTGTTTTGTTTTTTCTCTCTCTCCACTATCTTTTTTTCCACCTCCTCCTCCCCCATGTCCTTTTCATCCCTCCCCCCTTTGCCCCGGAGTCCTCCTCCAAGGCTTTCTCCTCCTCGTCTTCGTCCTTCATTAGGTTTTTGATTTTGTTGTTGTTGTCGTTCACCCTCAACAATCCCCCTCCGTCTCACGTCTCCTGCTTTGTTTGTCCACTTTCATCCCCCTTTTCTCACCTTTTTACCGTCTTGTGAATTCCCCACATTCTCTGGCTTTGCAAACTTGGAACCATCTGTCATTTCTTGTCAAGATGCTCCACTTGTTCTTCCGGCCGTCTTTTAGGTCAAAAGTGAGCGCTGAAATGTCCCAAAAGGAGGACACGCATGGATCCCTGAGATTCAACGATGCAAAGGAGGATTAGGTCAGATTTATGACCCCCCTCCCGCCCCCCCGCGCATTGCCGGGATGAGATAGACCTCCATCACCTCCGTGACGGGTTTCTCTTTTCACTGAAAAACCAAACTTCTTCTTTTTTGTGATGATATTTGTGTGTTGCCTCTCAGAAATTGGCCCCAGCCGTAAACATCCAATCGGCAGCGTCGCCAGCATCGCCAGCATCGCGGCGTCTGCTGGCTGCCTGGTGGTGTCTCAGATGAAACGGGGACCCGTGCTAACTGGCGACTCTCAGGCCCGACTAAGACTAATTTGCGTTTGGGTGTATTTAGCGACGATGTAGCTGGAAGCGTCGCGCTCTTCATCAGGAAACTAGATTTGGGGCCACTTGAGGATTCACTCATTAAACCTAAAAAAGGTCACCGTTGTCCCCCTTGAAACCGCTGCAGCGAGCGCTCCTTTCGTTTTTTACCGACTTAAAGAGGACGAGTGGTCCTGCGCCGCTGAACAGGTGCAACCATGCAGGACCCGCGCGGTCCGACCCGGGTCCGCCGGAACCCGCTGCGACATGTTTGGACACAGTCTCGGGTCCTCGGGGGCGGGGAAAAAAAAAGCCCAGAGCGGAACCACGGAGGGACAGAACTGGACGAGTCTCCGCTGGGCTCAGGATGTTTGGGCGGAGTGTGTGTGCGTGCGCGCGTGTGTGTGTGTGCGCGCGTGTTCCCATCCGTCATCGCTGAA